AATGCCTATATTAGGCTTTCAACTAGCTCTTATAGTAATTACATAGTTGACAGTTACTAATTACTTCTACTGTTATTTTTTTTTTGTAAAATCTTATAATCGCAAGTAACACATATTTTTTTTATTTAAAATTACAAAATAGAAAATTATAATTTACTTCTATTTATCGATAATAGGAAACCGCATTAGAACACGAGCACGGCACTATGTTACGACCGGCACATGCGGCCGTACTGTGTATTTTCACACGACAGTGGATATCGGAAGAAATTAAATACATCGCGCAGTAGTTGAGCATGACATAAAGTGGTTGCTAACTAAATCGTCAATGTACAAGTGTGTTAGAATTTTTATCACCACTGATTTCGATATCGCAGTAACTGTTACGGCACTGAATTCGTTCGTAAAAATGTTAAGTTTTTTTTATTTATAACCAAAATACCAATGGATTTGCAATACTTACATGTAGTAAATGACTCCATTGTTCCTGTAGTTCTTCGTTTCACTTGTTTTATTGCACGTAACGACGCATTATCCAAAAAATTCGGAGAACATTTCCTTAGTACGACTGAATCGCGACTAACCTAGCTACGCGGCTGACGTTCGTTTCTGGGCATATCGCGGAGACACGCGCCACGCCCCCGTTTCACATCTATTCCCTTCTTTGATCTGAGGTCGAGTGCAAAGACCCTTTCATTTGATTGTGTAATACAGATAATTCCAATAAGCAAGCAATATGTGCTTTATGATCTTTGCACTTAGGACTAGTTTATTAATAAGAAACAAATGAAGGTCACTTACATTTTTTGGTGAAGTGAAGACTCCATACGGGAGATTTTCGATAGGAAAGTCTGAATTTGATGCGTATTCTATAAAGGACTTCATAGCGACGTGTTTCCTTCACGGAGCCCACTGGTAAAGTGATTACCCGACTGGTTAGAGTAGTTTTAGTTATAATATGGAAATGTAGCCGGTTCTCGGGCGTTTGTAGTAATGTCAAGGCCAACTGTCTGTTGCTTGTTATCAACGAGTGATAAGTTTTCTCTGTGTTACTTAATTTAATTGAATGCATCTTCTTATCAGGAGTGTGTGGAGGCCGTGTTTCATAAGTTTTAATAGCTTGTTATTTAATACAATATCGTTGTGTAAAATTAACCTATTTGAAGAATAAAGTTGTTTGTACTAAAGATGTTGCGTTCTGTGTTGCAATAAGTATTTTTTTTTACAATTTCAAATACCACAGCAGGAATTTTGTAGGTATATTCATCTGACATTCAACAAGCTGTTTAATTATATTTAAACTCTCAGTAGAATTAGATTTGGATCTAATCTGATTTCTCTCAAAAGGGGATGATTGCATGCCTTCTTGAAGGTGTCTGAATCTGTTTAAGTATTTTTAATCACAACTAATGAGGAAGGTACTATTTCCACTGTCGCAACTCTTGTATAGCCAGGATCTACAGCTTAACCGCCAATAAAACCCCAATCAGTACGTAAAGGTTGTCCCGGGGTAAAGTTAAACTGTCATTGGATCCGCTACAAAATTAATCATAACAATATAGGAGTTCGAAGTCAAGGCTCGATCCCTTCCAGTGCGAAGCGGATGACCGATGACAAACAGAACAGTGAAATTATTTAGTCGGACATTTCGATGTTTCATAAAGTAGGCGCGGTGCCACTATAGTCGTCACGATGGTCACACCCACAACTTTGTGGCGTCATATTGTCGCGTTGTAGTTTGATAATATTCTAATGTCTTACAACTTACAAGTGACCGAACTTTACTGATTTGACTACAGCCATTTTTGAGGCTGGATCCACGCCTGCGATATTACTCCGAAAAACGTTATACTAAGTTTCAAATGTTGCCATCCCGTTCACGCAAGGCGTGGTGATGCCAGTATGAGAGACGATGACAGACCCGAAAACTAATTGTATGTGTTTCTGAGAAGCCCAGCTACATGCTGTTAGCGCGCTTTCACATTTAGGCGATTTAGCACCGCGACAAACGCGCGACTGACGCGCTGCCGAAAATGTCATACTATGTGACAGCGGCTGCATGCCTATACATTCTAAAAACGCTGCTGCCGCGCTACTAACGCCCTAATATGAAAGCGCTCTTAAAGTTACCATTTCCAAAACTCCCCATCCCTCATTAACACAAGCGCTGTACAAAAATAGCCTTTATTACAAATAGCTAAGCAACATTATGTATACAGTGTGAGTCACGTTAAAGTGTACATATGAAAATAGATGAAACTAAACCTATTTTTATCGACAAAAAAGAGGTCTAAAAATTTTTGAGATTTTTTTTTAATTTTTTATAGAATTTTTTTTCTTCCAATTACTTATTGTAAAGAAAACGTAATAACTTTTAAACTAAGCGGTATATCCTGATAAAATAAAAACAGTAATAATGCTAAATAACAGGCGATACTAAAAAAATACATAAAATACACAAAAAAAGGCCAACAAATAATAAAAAATGATACTTTTTTAAAAAAATCTGCTTAAAAATTCGTGTTTTTTTGGTTATTTGATAAATTTCTCCAAAAAATGCCCCTATAACCGGTAGTTTTTATTACTTTGTATTATTCTCTATCGTATTACCTTCGTAAAACCAAAAATCGCATGTCTCTATCCCTATCACAATGTTTGCAATGATCGTTTGAACTAAGCCTCTCCGGGCGCGCCATTCAACGCTTCGTTAACAACAAAACTGAAAATGGCTCTAGATTTGTAATTTTGATAAAGACAAGTTAGATTTCAAATAAAAACAAAAGATTTCGAAGTAAAATAAGCATTTTAGTTAAAATTAAAATTGTCTCTACCTGTATCGGAGAATAATGTTGTGGCAGGCCTTTGTTCAAACGATCATAGCAAATGTTGTGATAGGGATAGAGACATGCGATTTTTGGTTTTACAAAGATAATACGATAGAGAATAATAAAAAGTAATAAAAACTACCGGTTATTGGGGCATTTTTTGGAGAAATTTATCAAATAACCAAAAAAGCACGAATTTTTAAGCAGATTTTTTTCAAAAAGTATCATTTTTTAGTATTTGTTGGCATTTTTTGTGTATTTTATGTATTATTTTAGTATCGCCTGTTATTTAGCATTATTACTGTTTTTATTTTATCAGGATATACCGCACAGTTTAAAAGTTATTACGTTTTCTTTACAACAAGTTATTAGAAGAAAAAAAATTCTATAAAAAATTAAAAAAAAATCTCAAAAAATTTTTGAACTCTTTTTTGTCGATAAAAATAGGTCTAGTTTTATCTATTTTCATATGTACACTTTAACGTGACTCACACTGTATATTTACAAATGGAAGTTGACCCTAGGAGCGAGCCGGCGGCGCGACGGAGGCTTGCCCAGCGCCCGGCTGTCGGCCTCCACGACTGCCTGGAACAAACGTCAGTGTGGTGGGATAGCGGAGCGGAGAGGACCTATAGCGGAGATGAGCGATGTAGCGGAGCGGAGAGGAGCTATAGCGGAGATGAGCGATGTAGCGGAGATGAGCGACGTAGCGGAGATGAGTGACGTAGCGGAGATGAGTGACGTAGCGGAGATGAGCGACGTAGCGGAAATGAGCGACGTAGCGGAGATGAGCGACGTAGCGGAGATGAGTGACGTAGCGGAGATGAGCGACGTAGCGGAGATGAGCGACGTAGCGGAGATGAGCGACGTAGCGGAGATGAGCGACGTAGCGGAGATGAGCGACGTAGCGGAGAGGAGTGATGTAGCGCAGCGGTTAGCTACCCCGCGCACTAGGCAGCCTGGTTGCGGCAGCCAGTCGAACATATGACGATGTATGGGAGTCAGCGCATTAGGCAGCCAAGTGTGTTCTGATACCGAATTAAATGCCAAAGCCAGGCTGCCTAGTGCTCGGGAGGATGACTGTCCTTGGAGCGGAGCGGAGAGGCGCTGTAGCAGAGAGGCTGGCGACCCCGCGCACTAGGCAGCCTGGCTGCAGCAGCCAGTCGAACATAATGATGGTGGGAGACGCAGCCAAGTGAAGGTATATGAACATAATTATACCCACAGCGAGGCTGCCTAGTGCGGGACGGGAGGCCTTATGAATGGCTGTCCACTAGAGGAGCGGAGTTGTGCTATTATTGGCACGTACAGGATTGCTTGAAATTTCTGATCTCCCAAACCAAGGACTCTCCCTTTTAAGGATAATTTTCTATCAAAGCGGAGTGGAGACGTGTTGTAAGCAACCAATATAGTTTCGTTTTTCCACTCAGCTTCAGTGGAGACGGTTCTCTCTGAGATCTGCTCCGCTTTGGTGGAAATAAACTGCGGAGCGATGATGTGGTGCTCCCTGTAGCAGCCTGTGAGCGATGCCAATATTGACCGCTAAGCCATTTTTCACCAAAGAAGACACGGAGACGAAATTGGTTAGAAAATAGAAGAGGATGATAGAGCCAAAGTATAAGATGTGCGGCGTTTCTATACTAAATTAGTCGCCTCGAACATGCATCGCGTTTCATCTCCGATTTGGTAGAAAACAGCCTTTAGGATGGCTATAATTTCTGCTCCGCTGCAGTAGATAGGCATTTGCGAACACCAGTGATTGTATTCAACGGTAATCTAAATAGAAAAACGCAAAACGTACGGTCGATTAACTTAAATGCTTTTATTTACCTTCAATAACATCGATACGTCATCGTCTCGACACAAAATATACAATACATAATAACAATAATTAAATATACATAAATACACTGCTACTACTAAGTCTACAATACAAAATCTATTTGACGCCTATCGCGAAAAATGGTCGGTATAAATTTCATATAAAATTCTGGGTAATGAGGGTTTTCGCGAATGAAAAATCCGCCAGATCGCAATACGTAGACGCGAGGTCCAAATGCTGCATGATTGGTTATTTTTGACATGACATTGACAGATATGTCAAAATCCACCAATCACGCAGCAGTCAGACCCCACATCCACGTCCCGCCATCTAGCGGATCTTTCATTCGCGAAAACCCTCATTGTAAAGGTAGGCACAACACTCAAGTCCTTCATGGTTTTTTATTATAACCGCGAGAAAGCAAATCTAAAGTAAAATAAATGCTATTACTTTTAAATAATACTATTACTACTAACATTATAAACGCGCTTGTTTGAATATTTGTAATTCAAACTTGTGAATGCTGAACGGATTTGGATAATACCTAGGCACCTTTATTCAATTGTGATCTAGTTCAAGGATATGTAAATATAATTGTATAATTTATTTAATAATATTAAATGAAATCATGATCTTAGTTTTTACCTTAAACGAGTATTAATAAAAACTGGCCAATTTATTTTAGCATAATGCTACACGATCAAACATACATACAACAATTATTTTTCCATGTGCACAAAATATCCAATTACACAATACAATAATTTATGAAGAGTTAACATTTAGTAATACTAAGGAACTAATTTAAAATCATGTTTTCTACTTACATTTTTGTTAAAATTGGAAGAACTTATAAAGCTTTAGTCAATTTGGTAAAATTTCAATAATTTGATAATTCTTTTAAGCACTTTTGATTTTATTATTTACCTAGCTGCTCTAGTGTTATTACTTAAATTAGGGAGTGTTAAAATTAAACACCATGAAACCCGATGGAGTTCACTGCGCACCAGGCGTGCGTGACGTCACATCGACGCTCTGTAGCTTTATTCACGTAACAAAACTTCAACGACAACAAAACACTGAGTTGGATCCTATTGAGTAATCGTTTTATCAAAATGACCCTTGTGAGTACGGATTTAGAACTGTTTTTCAATGGGACGACTTCTGAACGTCATCAACGAGATGATGACTGTCAAAATACGTAAATTAGGCCACTGGTACGGAAGGGGCGAACGCGGGAAGCTCAATCGGGTTGTAAACATACCTATGTTATTTCTTATGAGAATATAAGAGATGGTTTGATACCATTTAGGCCCAGAACAGATGGTGGAACGCAACTACAACTGCTAGTTACTTTTGAGTTGCATCTAAGTTTCTGCCATAGCGTCCGTTGAGAGACCACACATTACGCGACCAGTTTTAAACTTTCAGTTTCAGTTTCATTCATAAGAATCATCAGAAGGTTGCAGTTTCGTTGCAGTTGCGTTTCACCGTCTGTTCTGGGCCTTAGAGATATTGTCAGTGAGTTAATATCGGACAATATAATTAAGCTTTTGTTGTTATCTCTTCAACCTCGCGATTCGAGACACAATAGATAATATAATCGGTCAAATGCGACTGCTAGGAGGTTGATGGATGAGACTTATGCGTAAGATGTACTCATTTAAACCATTTAAACATGTTTGATCATGCGAAAATTGATGTGCGTAATAATTTGTGTTATTTAAGTGTTTTAAAGCCTAATATAACTTTTTTTTAAAGAGTAATTTGTGCAAAAACTCAAAATTCCCGTTTGCCCCTTGTGGTAAGCTAAATATGCTTGTGTCACGAGTGGGCTCACCACAATAGTCGATCGGTAGAATTCGAACCCGCGTTACTCGGATCTCGAGTCTGCCGACCCCTTCACTGTTCGGCTATCGTGGCTTATAGACAAACTGTGTTCAATTTCGAATATGGAAAGGCTTATTTAAACACATTTTAGATTTTTAGTCTTACCAAACAATTAATCGTAATCATCATTTTGACTGCGATAAATACATTCCAATCAATATAACTAAACTAGCGGCCGCCCGCGACTTCGTACGCGTGAATCCCGTTTTTCCCGCTAATTCCCGTTCCCGTGGGAATTTCGGAAATTCCTTTCTTAGTGCACCTCTACGGTACCTAAGCTACGTCCCTTCCAAATTTCAAGTGCCTACGTTTAGCCGTTTAGGCTGTGCGTTGATCTGTCAGTCAGTCAGTCAGTTTCTCCTTTTATATATTTAGATAAACTCCACCACACCAACTAAATACAACCGAAACTACAGTAACTACATTCATTTTCGCAAGTTCAAACTACTTTTTAGGCTACCAATAACACGAAATTCTTATCTACACAACGTCGCGTCGATCTGTTGCAGCGATGGCAGGGTCAGCTTTAGTTTCCTCCGGTATGCTGGGTCCGAAGCTATTGGGTTCCTTTCCAGGTATATCGTAGCCAATTTCTTGTTCTCTTGCAAGTAATCCACCGATGACCACTCTGATACTTGGTTATCATTCAACTAGAACGAACATGGGAAACGGTTTAGTTTTATCGTGTAAGTGTTTGTAAATTATGTTTGCGAAGGCGGTGTGAAACTTACTGACACAAATGAAACTTCTTTTAGTAGGTCAGTTGCTTCGGAAGGCTCAAGCGCTTGATGAAATGATATGGTAAACGATGACAATGAAATGTTTTACATGAATATTATTAGCAACTAACCCATAATTCTTCCAAGTCGCTCATATGCCTCACGTTATCGATCACTGTGATTCTGTTCATGGCCAGATCCAAGGTTTGGAGTTTCCCTTGACTTTCCATGTTTTCCATCATTATTATGCCATTCTCCGATATGTACAGTTGTTCGAGGTTTGTAAGCAGTTCTAAGTTTTCTATTTTGGTGATGCGATTGCTCTGAAGAACTAGTATCTCAAGGCTGGACAGGTCATCTAGATTTTGTATTTTGGTTATCTTATTTTTGCCTAAGTACAACTGTTTGAGGGACTTCAGGCCTTCTAAATTTTTTATTTCCTGAAAATCACACATTTAATATCAGTATAACATTTTAATATTTTTTAAAAACAATCATAAGAGTCTTATGACCATTTTCACCATTAATTTTAAGTGACCCCTATGGTAACACATAACAGGAATTTTGTTTTCATAGGAGTCACTTAAAAATTAGGGATTGATGGTGAAAACAGAAAAGGCTCAGTTGCACCAACTTACTTTGACCGTAACTTTAACAATAACCAGTGATTTTTGTCTGGAGTTTGACAGATTTTTGACATTTAAGTCAAAATAAGATGGTGCAACTCAGCCTAAGCAATGAAAAATGTAGATACATTGAATAAAAATTGTATACTTTTTAAAAGCTTTATCTTACCCGTATACGATTATCTCCAAGCTCCAGGAGTTCCAATTTGGGCAAATGGTTGACGTTTTTGATCTCTGAAATCTTGTTGGAGCTGATGAATAACTTTTTCAGCTTCAGAAGGTTGTCAAGCCCTGATATTTCTTTTATCCTGTTGAATGATAGGTCTAGGATTCTGTGGAAGTGTACATAAATATATTGAGTATTTTTTAGGTCATAGATAAAAAATATTACGAAGATGTAAAGTTAAGAGTCTGTTATCTAGGTTTTTTCAGTCAGGATAGATAGCAAGTACTACACAAAATTAAGATTAGATTAAGCATGACACTCATAGTTACTGCTCACACTAAAGTATTACAATTCTCATGTAACTCTAGGAATAAAATGGTGTCCCACTTAATTTGAAAATAAATGGGAAACAAAAAAAAATTAAGTGGGAGACCACTTGATTCCTTGAAGCTTAAAGACATTCACTGCTGGAGAAAGGCCTCCCCAAGAATTATCACATCAACCAGTCTTGCAGCAAACACTTGCCCATTTAAACTAAAACTAAAAACCCACTCACTCAAGGTTGACAAGGTTATCCAAGTTCTCAATGGTTACAATCTGGTTGTCATACAACTCCAGCTCCACCAATGTGCTCAAAGTATCCAGCCCTTCTATCTTTTTGATGAGATTCCATCTCAAATACAACCTGGAAATTAAGTGATTGTTTATTGATTACTGAAACACAAGTTAGATCTATAGTTAAACAGATATTATCCGAAATGTTTTCTTTCCTAAGTATGTTACTGATCTGTTGTGAGAGAAATAAATAAATAACTTATTTAATTTATTGTGCTACTTTATTGTACTGAACTGTTCGTAAAGGAAACATTGTTGTTGCCTAAGAAATATGGGGCTATACTGACAATCATGATACAAAATGTGGAATGAAACATGTAGGTCTTTATCATCTAAGAACTTTTTATAATTTGGAGTGATTTAAAAAGCCTTGTAGAATTGTGGTGCATTTGTGAACACCTCTAGTATATAATTCCCTCCACAACAGTAATGCATGACTCACTATCTTTCTACTTGATCTCACAACAAGGACAACTATTTAAATCGAAACTTATACCACTTTCTAATTAATGAGTCAGTCTTTACTGTTAATATCAACTATTATCCTCATTCTGAGTAACAACCACATATTTCATAATGATTTTGCATGCATCTTAGAGGTTGTATAACAATTAGGACAATTTTCAGGCTGTTAACAAATATGACCTACCTCTCAAGATGTTTTAAAGGCTCTAAATTCTCGATCTTTCCAATTCTCCCGTGGTTCAAGTCCAGCTCTTCAGTGTTTTCGTTAATGACTATCAGCTCCTGGGTGTCTTCGTTGCCCGGTGGAGGCGTGGCGGCTTGCGGAGGTGAACCAGGCTCATCATCTTTGCCCTGTTTGTTTTGACCCAGCCCGTCGCCTTTCGGCACTTCGTCAGCTTCATTATTGGCCATAGGAGTGTCTTGATTGTCTGAAAAACAATGTGACCATGGCTCATTCCATTTACGAGCTGGATTTACGGTTGCAATAGATACGTACCTGCCATGATATTGTGTTAGTTAACAATAAACGGTGTTAAGATATGGCTTAAGTGTATTTTTAAATCAATTTACACGCTATTGTAATTAATTAACAGCAAAAAAGACCTCCAATTGGACGAAATTCGGCAAATTCTCGAAAATAATAAATTCACGAACACGAACTGTCAATTTGAATTGACAGCTCCACAGATACAAACACAGGATACCAAAATATATTAGGGTAATTACACACACGTGTTTTTACCAAAGTATCACGTTAAGTAACGTGATATTTATGTCATTGATAAGCGAAAGGTTAAAAAAAACTAACAGCTGATATTTGACATTTGACAAAAGGATATTGGCGCCATTTCATTTGTTGTGGCTTGTGGTGCTTGCATTTTGTTTATTTCGGCATTTTTAAACAATTATTACACTGATCATGGATGAAATTGATGAATTGTCACAACTAGAAGAATTACTAAGTGCTGACTTAGGAGAAGACCCCGAAAATGAGGTCGAGACGAAGAGAAACCGTATCGAAGAAGTTGATATATTTCAGTGCACTGATAACGCAGAAGAACCAGTACAAAATGAGACAAACGTGGAGAATATCAAAAACTCAGCTATCCACAGTGGAGATACTGACTCGTCGGATGATGAAGAGCGGCGAAACTATACGGAACGTAAATACAACGACTATGGTTCACAAGTGAAGAAGGCACTCGATAATAAGGCTCAGGAGCAAATTCACAAAAGATTGGACTTTGAAACCAGGCTGCGACAAACCAACATTGATATCAAGGTAGAACGTAGTCAATCTTTCATTAAAAAGCCAGACACATCAGATCAGAACAGCAAGAATCAATTCTGTGTCCCAGAAACAAAAACTGCGCAGCGCGCGGATGTCTATACTGATCCTATCTTTGGAATCAGAATTACCAAACCACTCATATCAAGTTCTGCTCTTCTCGATAGAATGCAGGGCCGAGAAGCTATTAACATGTTGAGAGTAAAACGGCACGTAGAAAACGAAGATTTATCAAAAGACTGGGTGATTGGTGGCGTCATTGTTCGAAAAAGTGCAACAAAGAAGTCCCAGAAAGGCAATCAATTTGTGATTTGGACATTAAGTGATCTAAAGGATGACATGAAGACAATTTCTATGTTTTTATTCAGAAAGGCTTACAACGATTTGTGGAAAACAAGTGAAGGAACAGTTGTTGCAGTATTAAACCCCAGTGTATTAGACAGGTCACAGAACAGTGCTGATCAGGCTTGCTTGAGTGTGGATCACTCGGACAAAGTCATGATTCTTGGTCATTCAAAGGACTTGGGTATTTGTAAAAGTAAAAAGAAGAATGGTGAGCCCTGCACAGCATTTGTCAATGCAAGCAAATGTGAACATTGCATTTATCATGTTAAGCAAGAGTACCAAAAATTCAGCAAGCGGCAGGAACTTCAGTCTTCCACTATGGGCAAAGGTCTAGTCAATCTGCAGAATAAGGTTCTTGGGAAGAATACAGTCATCTATGGAGGCAAGGCATATTCTGCTTTGCCAACAGGAAACAACAAAAAAGTGAAAGAGAAGGACCAAAACAGGCTTATGTCTTTGAGTGACTACTACAAGTCTGAAGGAGACCAACTGATGATGAATAAGGCACCCTATGGAGCCGGGCTCATGAGTAAGAAATCAGACATACTTCACAGTCCTACATTACAACGGAAATCTGACAGTGAAAGGTTGAACAACCTCACCAATTCCAGTCCAGTTAGTTCCAAGTCATCATCTTCAGGGTTGAGTTTAGCTGATAAAGTAGCATTCTCACCTAAGCTTGGCAAGGGATTTGGTCTAAAAGGTAGTGGCACAATAGACCTCAATATTTCATACGGTCAGAAAGCAGCTGAAAGAGCAAAGGCAAATGCTATAAGACTGATACAACAAAGTGGTGGAATTTCCAAAATAGATCCAAATAATATCAAGGGTACCGAAGCTGGAAAGAAGAGAGCTTTAGAAAACCTTAATAGTTCAGGGAGTGAAGAAAATAAATGCAAAAAGTCAAAACCCAATGAGGAAATTAAGAAGACTAAAGGAGTGATGTCAGAGAGGTTCAAGAAGATTCTTGAAGCATCTTCAGCTCATCAGAACCTGATTGAGCAGCATGATGATGATGAGCAAGAGAGGTACTTTAGCAAACTGGAGAAGAAAGAAGCTATGGAAGATAAAATGTTGAACACTTTCAAACTGGCATGTAAAGCTGTGAGATGTGCCAAGTGCAAATACACAGCCTTCTCTGCTGCCCAACTATGCAAGGATGAGAGGCATCCTTTAAAAGTCTTGGATACCTTCAAAAGGTTTTTCAAATGTGCAGATTGTAACAACAGGACTGTTTCATTGGAACTGATTCCATTGCATTCATGCAGTAATTGTCGTGGATCCCGCTGGGAGAAGGCTCCCATGCTCAGAGAAAAGAAAGTCACAAGTCTTTCTGATGGACTGTCCATTAGAGGTGAAGAAGAGACGTTTATTGGTGGACAAGTAAATACAGGAAAGAACATTAATCTGTTAGTACCAGATAGCTAAAACATTTTTGTAACTATATTTTAAGACAATACTGTGTTGCTTTAACTTTTATTGCTAATTTATTTTATTCTTACATTTTAAGAGGATTGACTATTTTTATAAATAAAATACAATATGAAAATAAAGCATAATATAATTTTATTATGAAACTTCCAGTCAATAACACTGAACCATTCCATAAAACAGTGTCTTCGATTTACAAGATTCATTATAATAACCTTGTCGCGCGGAATAATCTTGGGCTTTTTATAAAATTTTACACAGCCTTTGACAATAAATTACTACATACATGTTACAAAACCGATCAGTGGAGCTAACAACAACATGCGACACCAATGTATCATGTGTTACAGAAATGTATTTACAAAACTTCATTATACAAGCAGTGGTCCAAAATGTGGCAATATACAAATGTGTTACAAAATTAGTTAAGCGTTTAAACCCCATTCAGGCAAACTAAATGATTATATTGCTAAGATATCATAGTGATAATTACAAACATTTACTAAAATTGCATTCATTTCATAGAATATGCCTGAGCGGGGGCGACTTTTCACATAAAAAAAATTGAAAAATAAAACCATTATTTTGTATGGAAGAATTAGAAAGGCTAGCGTACTATCCCCGAATCTCGCGAACTGGCATTTCCTAGGGAAGTAGATTATAATATTAAAGAGAAATGGCGATTGGCGAGATCGCATATTTGCACGCCAGAAGTGCTATAAAGAATTAGGCACTTTATTTTCTAACAATTTACCAATTACAACTCCAATGGTACACACATATCGAGTAGCCTCAGATAAACGATTATGTACAAATCCCTTACAAAATAACAAACAGTGTCTTCACGCTGTGCTTTTACGAGGTAGGTTGTTTCGTGATTGCCAAATGTTAGTAATTGACAGTAAAAATGTCTGATCGATACCTAATTGTTTAGATTTGAGAAGTTTTTCACCTAACCAAATCAAAACCTAACATAATTGGTTGATATAGCGCTAATGACCTCGTCTCAATCATGTGCGGTATGGCTATCTATTCCTAGCCATATATTTTATTGCTACAAATTCCCTATTTTCCTAGTTCAACGCAATGATAGAGACTAGGCCTTATAGGACTGATTGGCTGCGGTCTATTTACCTTCAAATGATCGTAACGTATGGTAAGTGCAAGCATTTTGTGCGCATGATAGAAACAGTCCGTTTTATAAGTGTGAAGTTTCTATCCTCATAAGGCTACTTGTGGGTAACGAATTTAAAATATCTAATTGGAAAATTTATCTAATGGAAGAATTGAATGTAATATATTTATTCATCAATAACAAATAATTCATTATATTTTTATATTGTACCTACAGGTTACGAAATCACGGATGTTTGACGTTATGTCATGGTCATATTGTAAAAGGAAGTTGCTCTACCCGCAAAACTAATATCAGGTCATCCACCTCTCTTCCATCTTACCGACACGAGTGAAAAAGACCGAGTAGAATCTAAGTTTCATATTTTTACAACTCGACAGATTTGCGCATATGCGTGGCAACGGACGGCACGGTTTTTCACCTTGGCCTTAGCGAATTAAAAAAAACGATCTGAACTTCAGCCGAGACCGCAGCCTGTGAACGGAACGGAATGAACGGAGAGGGACCACTGCGTGCGGTGCGTTCGTTCAGTAAAAAAAGGTACAAAATGCGTCGCGCCATCATTCCCACTCGGTTGTGGCGGGCGGCTTCGGCGTCAGATCGTACAGCACGCGAGAGATGCCCGGCACCGACTGCAGTTCCTTGCGCATTCGGTCCACCACCTGAAATTAAAATAAATAGTCTTTATTTGCTGGTTGCAGGTCGCTTTTAATTCGTCTCTCGTACGAATTAGGGCTGATTTTTCAAACGTCGGATAACTTTTATCTGAAGAATAAGTTTGGCACATTGACAGTTTCAGTATGGGAAATATGTCAAAATGACAAGTTTATTCATCAGTTACAAGATATCTTATGATTGAAAAATCAGCCCTAAGTGTAATAAAGCTGCAATCCCGTAATTTGCTACCAAATACAAATTAAAGAATGTTTTCGTAATGAAACTGCTTTTAATGCTCTTGAACACTGGAATAGGAGGGGCCGAGTGTTATTTTATCCACAATGAGGAAGCTCTTGGTCTGCATCTCACCTGGAAAGTGATAAATCCTCAAGAATCCTCAACTACAGGAACTGGTAATCTTACCTCTTAACTGTCGGAGCACAACAATGCTGTTACCAATAACGTTATGACAACAGACTTGGTAAGATGGTGGTGGCTAGCCAGGCGGATTTAGAACAAGCCCTATCACCAACCAAACCGAACAGAAAATTCTACTCACACTGGGAATCGAACCGGGGGCTTTTGGATCTGAAGCAGATGGTCTTACCACTAGACCACAGTGTACTCACGTCCTGCGGCATAGCTGCGGAGCCGGGCAGCGCGGCGACGCCGGTCATGAAGTCAGCAGCACCGAAGTTTCGAATGTTGCTATCCCTCTCACTCATATCGACATGCCAGCATGAGCGACGCTGACAGACAACACTGCAGGTCATTATACTGTCCTGCGGCATTGCCGCGGAGCCAGTCATTAAGTGCCGCAGTACGAGCGAGCGTTGCAGCGGGGTAATCCGAAGTTTCTAATGTTGCCATCCCTCTCACGCATATCGAGATGCCAGTACGAGCGACAGTGACAGACAGTACTGTAGGTAGTGTTGTAAGAAACTCGAGTCTTGAGTCTTTTTAATAGAACTTAAGCTATTTTTGAAAACTCGCAAGTACTCGGACTCATGTGACTAACGGGTCCCCATCTTGAAAATAGACTCAAGTTTAAGAGACTTGAGTTTCTTACGACTCTAATACAGGTTATAGTGGGTATACTCACGTCCTGCGGCATGGCTGCGGATCCTGGCAGAGCTGCGACTCCAGTCATGAAGTCCGCGGACAGGAAGGGCCGCAGCACGAGCGAGCGCTGGCACGAGGCCGCGCGGACCGCGGCGTCGCGGTCGAAGTGGATCGGGAGCGAGCGAGACGCCAGTACGAGCGACAGTGACAGACAACACTACGGGTCATTGTACTCACGTCCTGCGGCATGTGGGCGTGGCAACACGAGCGAGCGTTGCAGCGGGGTTATCAGACGTTTCTAGTGGTGCCATCCCTCTCACGCAAAGCAAGATGCTAGCATGAGTGACGGTGACAGACAGCCCTGCAGGTCATTGTACTCACGTCCTGCGGCATGGCGGCTGATCCTGGCAGAGCTGCGACACCAGTCATGAAGTCCGCGGACAGGAAGGGCCGCAGCACGAGCGAGCGCTGGCACGACGCCGCGCGGACCGCGGCGTCGCGGTCGAAGTGGACCGGGAGCGAGCGAGACGCCAGTACGAGCGATAGTGACAGACAACACTACGGGTCATTGTACTCACGTCCTGTGGCATGTGGGCGGAGCCAGGCGACGCCGGTCATAGCGTTGGAGCGGGGTTTCTAATGCTGCCATCCCTTTCACGCATATCGAGATGCCAGCATGAGCGACAGCGACAGATAGCACTGCAGGTAGCTAGGAGCGGTAAGAAACTCGAGTCTTGGAGTCTTTTTAATAGAACTTAAGCTATTTTTGAAAACTCGCAAGTACTCGGACTCATGTGACTAACGGGTCCCCATCTTGAAAATAGACTCAAGTTTAAGAGACTTGAGTTTCTTACGACTCTAATACAGGTTATAGTGGGTATACTCACGTCCTGCGGCATGGCTGCGGATCCTGGCAGAGCTGCGACTCCAGTCATGAAGTCTGCGGACAGGAAGGGCCGCAGCACGAGCGAGCGCTGGCACGATGCGGCGCGGACCGCGGCGTCGCGGTCGAAGTGGATCGGGATGAGCACGACGGGCATCTGAGCGATGCGACCGGCGTAGCCGCTTGATATCAACACCTGCGAGTAGAAATTACATAGTTAACTTTACATGTAATAAACGAGCACTTGGGATAACTAAGACTTTGTAGTGTTGCACCTTACAGGTAAGGCGGGTTTTAGAATCGCGCTGACCGCTCGCTGATCGTCGGCGCTGACGCTTCATACTTCCAACGAGACACAATTTCAACGGGACACATTTTCAATCAGACACATTCCCACGTGGACACATCAATTATTGTATCATCAGTTAAATGTTTTAATGAAAAAAATAAAATGTGTTAATTGTCATGGGTATGTATTCGTCTGCCGTTTGGTGTAGTGGTTCAGAACGGCCTACTGTGCCGAGAGGTCCCGGGTTCGATTCTCGGCCGGGCAGAAATTGAAATGATGCATTTTAATTTCTGTGACCGGTCTGGGTGTTAGACTATCTATACTTATAATAAATCTGTAGAGAAGTCAATTCTGTACATGAAATATATTTTCAAAATAACTATCAGGGGGTGATTACTGATGCCAAAAATGCAATCAGTAAATTTTTTGTCTGTCTGTGTTCCTCATAGAAACAAAAACTACTCGACGGATTTTAACGAAACTTGGTACAATTATTTTTCATACTCCTGGGCAGGTTATAGTATACTTAGGAGTATCCCACGGGAACGGGAATTAGCGGGAAAATCCTTTTGTATGAAAAATCTAAACCACATAAGCTAGATGAAGGGGATAATAAAACGGGATCCACGCGTACGAAGTCGCGGGCGGCCGCTAGTCTTTCCATATCTATGTGCGGAAACGTCACGAAATCTGAATTTTAGCTGACCTCCTAACCCCTCATAAAAGCCAAGGTAAATTTTATTGATTGGTCTATGTTATGTTTAGGTTATTTTATTGATTTAAGGAAAGTACGCGAAGATTTTGTTTTTAATTGTAATAAAATATAGTTATTTTAATGTTCATATTTTTAATTTCACTTTCATTTATTCGACTGACTGTATTGTGTCAGTTTGCAACTGTGTCCACGTGGGAATGTGTCTGATTGAAAATGTGTCCCGTTGAAACTAAATCATTTCGGCGGTCAGCGTGACTCTAAAACCAGCCTAAGTCGATAAACTGTTACGCGGCTGCAACGCGTGTCTATCAATCGATCAGTGACATCACTTCGCGGCAAATTTGAAGGCGCCCTTAGACAGTGTCATCAGTCAACTGGTGAACGCTGAAGCGATATGAGATATTTCCCGTACCATCCGATCACGCCACTCACCAGTAGTACTAACTAGTGAATGCCAATACGGTAGCCTTCTTAAATACTTTTTATAAGCTGTTCAAAACATCGTTTTTTTTTCATAGATTTCGCATGAAAATACCTGTTTTTCAGTCTAGTAGATGTTCAAGATTTTATTTACTACTGTTTAAGTTTATTTCTCACCTGTGTCGCGATGTCGTCCGCTTGGCGGATGGTAGACACGACCTGCTGCGACAGAAAGGTGGGCGTGATATCCGTCACCTGCTCCTTGATGATGCCGCCGAAGGCGTAGCAGACCCTAAGGATACATGGCTGATGTTAAAAATTAGAATTTACATTTCTACAATTAACTTATTCGTCTGTAATAATCATGATCATCACCTTCCATCAGGTGAGATGCAGGTCAAGAGTTTCCTTGGAAGTAGTAGCCAATTTAAATGCTATAAAAAGCACATCACAATTTATTTAACAGAAACAATACGAGGATAAGAAAACAGTGGTCTTTTATTTATTTATTTATTCATGAATAGAACGGTAGTACCAATTACACTATTCAAACAAGACGTAACAAAGCTCAGAATAATTAATTAATTTATGCAGTGGAATTTATGGTTGTGTCGTAACAAATAAGAAAGAAATCGGTTTCATACATTTAATATGTGATACGTCAGAAGGCGTTACGATAGGATACAACACCTAGTGTAAAAGTTACCAAATTAAGGCTGGGTTGCACCATCTTACTTTAAAGGAAAATGACCAAAAATGTATGGAGTGTGGTCCAAATGTCCACCACTAACGAGACCTATGTAGTACAATAGTCTACTAAATACTGATTCATTACNCGGTCGCCGAGCTGCGCCGCCAGCGGAACTTCCTCGTGCAGTCGCTGGTCAGTACCCGCGGCCACGTGGCTCCCCCACCGGCCCCTCGTGGCCTGGACTGCTGCCGGAGCGACTGCAGGCCACCGGCCACGCCGCCGTGTTCAACACGGTCGCCGAGCTGCGCCGCCAGCGGAACTTCCTCGTGCAGTCGCTGGTCAGTACCCGCGGCCACGTGGCTCCCCCACCGGCCCCTCGTGGCCTGGACTGCTGCCGGAGCGACTGCAGGCCACCGGCCACGCCGCCGTGTTCAACACGGTCGCCGAGCTGCGCCGCCAGCGGAACTTCCTCGTGCAGTCGCTGGTCAGTACCCGCGGCCACGTGGCTCCCCCACCGGCCCCTCGTGGCCTGGACTGCTGCCGGAGCGACTGCAGGCCACCGGCCACGCCGCCGTGTTCAACACGGTCGCCGAGCTGCGCCGCCAGCGGAACTTCCTCGTGCAGTCGCTGGTCAGTACCCGCGGCCACGTGGCTCCCCATGCCAAATTTCAAGCGTCTAACTTAAGCGGTTTAGATTTTTCATACAAAAGGATTTTCCCGCTAATTCCCGTTCCCTTGGGAATTTTGGTAATTCCTTTCTTAGTGCACCTCTACGGTATTTAAGCTACGTCCCTTCCAAATTTCAAGTGCCTACGTTTAGCCGTTTAGGCTGTGTGTTGATCTGTCACTAAGTCAGTCAGTTTCTCCTTTTATTGTATAATATTTAGATTCTTTTTTAACTACAATGTCGTTTATATAAATTACATTGATGTTTTTTAGTTCTTTTTTGTTTCTTTGAGTAATATTTGATTTTAATATTGATTTGATTTTAAAGGTGGAAGAAAAAACGTAAGAAACTATTAATAGCAGGGTTAATAGCCAATGGATGGCTAATAATGGCTATTAATAGATAATAATCAGTTATTATCCAAACTAGCTGGCTACAAACCCATCTCTAGTCGTGAGGGACTTCAGATTTATATGTTTGGTGACAGAGTCGTGACGTTAGAACTGAGTTACACCATCTTACTTTAACTGAGACAAACGTCAAATATCTGTAAAATTCCATACAAAAACACCGGTATAGTTCCAAAATACTGAACTGTCCTATGCATGACATTGACAGTGGGGCGCCAGCACCGTCAATACCGGATCGCTGGTTCCGATTTTTGCCACGTTGGAAACCATATAGTTGAACGATGGTAGCGCCCCCCTGTCATTGAGTTTGGTGGGACAGTTCAGCGTGGGTCATCTATATTTGTTATAGTTACGGTTAAAGTTAGGTGGTGCAACTCAGCCTTATTAAGTCTAAGTCACCCACCCCTCTCATGCCGTTCCCATATCCCAGGCACTGTATCAGTTAAGTGCTACAACTATAGTAAGTGCATGTAATGTTGATTGTTAGAAAATTTGAAGTTTACCTTGCACTCCGACGGTCCTTAGTGGCAATAATGTGGCAGCCACCTGAAACAAACGTACATTATTAAATTACAAAACGGAATAGTACGTTTTTGTAGCGGCGTGTACACTCCCAGTATAGCGTCATAGTAAGGTTACGTAGCGGCGTAGTAAAGTTATGTAGTGTGTAGCTTCGTAGTGGGATTATGTAGCATCGTACTGTATTGTGAGTATGTAGCAATATAGTGAGTCTATAAAAGCGTATAGAATTTCGTCCAATGAACCCAAGTTACCCATCCTTATCACTCGCACAACTATTTTGCTGTCGCGACTGTGCGTCGGGCGGCCGCAGTGAGTGTGCGAGCGCGAGAGCAATATAATTACAGCGATAAGGATGGGTAGCTTGGGGTCATTGGACGTAATTCAATCTGCTCGGCGACCGGACTTTAGAATTATGTAACGTTGTAGTGTGAGTGTAGCGGGCTAGCGGTAGTAAGGTTGTATAGCGGTGTAGTGAGGTTATGTGCCTTATAGCCTGTTACCTGCGACTTGGAGGAGATGCGCTTGAGCTCCTGCTGCTCGAGCGGCGTGCTGGCGTTGACGACGCGGCCGAGCAGCGCGTGCGACTTCACGCACATCGACGCATACTCCACCATTATCTTCACTATCACCTGCCGAGCGGGGAATAAAACACTGATAAAATCAAAATCAAACGGTGGTGAACAGGGAATAAAACACTGATAAAGTATTGAGGGAAGAGCCTGGATGCGAGCAGCGCAGGACCGTTCATTGTGGAAAACCTTAGAGGAGGCCTTTGTCCAGCAGTGGACGTCATTCGGCTGAAACGAACGAACGAACGAACGAACGAACGAAAGTATTGAGTAGATTTAATTAATTAAATATTTAATTAAGACAACACTTAGTTTTAAGCACTTTTAGTTATAGTAATTTCATGTATGCGTGTTTGTCTTGTTGGTTGTCCTAATAAATAAAATAAAATAGATAGTGTTGTCTAGTCATTGCAATTATTGAATGCACCAGTGTCCGGTGTTTCGACAATGATTTGATCAAAACGATAGTTCACTCGTAACATATTTAACAAAACAATGGATGTTCGTAGCTGAATAGTCAACTGGCCTGTTGCCTGTTCTCTTTTAAAAGGTTGCCGATTCCTGGACTAAATAATACAGTGTAGTACGCACCCATCTCAGCGAAGTATCGTCTCGTTCAGCATACTATCTATACCTGTTTCGATTCTCACTTAGCGCATCACATCTATTTCGGCTGGACTTATTAATACAGTGTAGTGCGCACCCTGTATTTTAGTGAAGTCTCGTCTCGCTCAGCATACCTGTGTCTGGGCTCTCACTTAGTGCACCACAACTGTATCGGCTCTCTCAATGCACCATACTTATGTGTCGACACTCGCTTAGCGCACCTCGGATTATGTACATAGTAGTGTCTCGGCGAAGTCTCGTCTCGCTCAGCAAACCATACTTCTCACTTAGCGCACGACATTTGTCTTGCCTCTTTCACCGTATCATACTTATGTGATGTGTTTAGAGCGCTTTGGATTATGGACCAGTGTTGTACCTGTGTCTCGGCGAAGTCCCGCTCGGCGTAGGGCTCGTCCTGGCACAGCACGCGCACGGCCAGCCCGGGCCCCGGGAACGGGTGCCGCTCCACCAGCGCCGCCGGCAGCCCAAGCTCCACACCCAACGCTCGCACCTAAAGAAATATCGAATGATTTAATAGATAGATAGATAAATAGTTTATTTGCAAATAAGATTAATAAACACAGGAGTAGCAGGAAAGATATAGTACAGTCACGGAATGAAAAGGTTCGTCAGTTTTCAAATTGATTCCTTCAACGAATCGCGAGCACATATTACCTTTTGAAGCTATGTTACAGAATAATCTCGAGTTAGAGAAAATAATCTTTAACTGTTCGTCAGTAAAGTTCAAAATTATTCAGATTAAAATTGTTTGACGATTTATCTTGTCAAGAAGATTATTATGATTGATAAACTAAAACCTTCTTGTTGGTTCAACCTGACATTATTATTTCTATTAAATAAAAAAATCTATTGTCAATTGGTCAATGTCATCATTGCATTGCACTGATGGGATAGAAAAATACACAAGCAAAACCTTATTCGTTAGCAAACGTCATATTTATTTAAATGTTAGTAGCACTGTTTCTTTCACTGTTATGTTGGCAGGTTTGACTCTTACAGTACCTACCTAGTGCAAGCGAAAACCGACACTAAGGTGACGAACCTTTTCATTCCGCGACTGTACACTAAGTAAAAATTCTTCACGCTCAGCACGCGCACTAGAGAGTGCCATTTTACGTTGAGAAGGCCCGGTTTACAATCTCAAGCGCCCACTTGATGAAAGACGCTTACAGTGGACGGTTTCTGGCTGACGATACGTACGTCAGCCAAGCGTATGAATAATGGTCCTGACATCAGCGGCAATATAATCGCAAGGTTGAAGTCGCGTGACCAACTTCACGAAAAGCTATCCGCAATCGCTTGTTGCGTAGCTCCTTCGCGCCGCGAGTGTCTGGTCTACGCGCAAACACCTATAAGTCCTAATGTAGTTGTTCAGTGCTTGTCGAACGGTCATACGAGGCCGTCATTTTGTTGGACAATCGCTATTAAGACAACAGGACGGAGCGGCTGTCGTTGTACTATAAACCTTATATCCACACGCTAAGGTTCACATTACCTCGTCCTTGTGGAAGTCCTTGAGCGGCTCGACGACGCGGCCGCGCTGTCTCAGCAGACGGACGAGCTCTGTGTCGTTGTGGTGCGTCTTGATGGCGACTGTCATTGCACTATACACCTTATATCTAGACGCTAAGGTTCACATTACCTCGTCCGTGTGGAAGTCCTTGAGCGGTTCGACGACGCGGCCGCGCTGTCTTCGCAAACTGGCGGTTGTCATTGCACTACGCGCCTTATTGCCAGATGGCTTTTATTGCACTATACACCTTATATCCAAGCGCTAAGGTTCACATTACCTCGTCCTTGTGGAAGTCCTTGAGCGGCTCGACGACGCGGCCGCGCTGTCTTCGCAAACTGGCGGTTGTCATTGCACTATGCGCCTTGTTGCCGGGCAGCTTTTATTGCACTATACACCTTATATCCAGGCGCTAAGGTTCACATTACCTCGTCCTTGTGGAAGTCCTTGAGCGGCTCGACGACGCGGCCGCGCTGCCTCAGCCGATGGGCGGTTGTTGCTGCACTATGGACCTTGTTGCCGGACAGCTGTTATTGCACTATAAACCTTATTGCAAGACGTTAAAGATCACATTACCTCGTCCTTGTGGAAGTCCTTGAGCGGCTCGACGACGCGGCCGCGCTGTCTCAGCAGACGGACGAGCTCTGTGTCGTTGTGGTGCGTCTTAATGGCGACTCTCATTGCACTATGCGCCTTATTGTCGAGCGACCGTCGTTGCACTATGCGCCTTGTTGCCGGGCAGCTTTTATTGCACTATACACCTTATTGCCAGGCGCTAAGGTGCACATTACCTCGTCCTTGTGGAAGTTCTTGAGCGGCTCGCTCGACTACGCGGCCGCGCTGCCTCAGCCGATGGGCGATTGTTGCTGCACTATGTACCTTGTTACTGTACACCTTTCGTTGCACTATACACCTTATTGCGAGGCGCTAAGGATCACATTACCTCGTCCTTGTGGAAGTCCTTGAGCGGCTCGACGACGCGGCCGCGCTGTCTGAGCAGACGGACGAGCTCTGTGTCGTTGTGGTGCCTTGATGGCGACTGTCATTGCACTATACACTTTATATCTAGACGCTAAGGATCACATTACCTCGTCCTTGTGGAAGTCCTTGAGCGGCTCGACGACGCGGCCGCGCTGTCTAAGCAGACGGACGAGCTCTGTGTCGTTGTGGTGCGTCTTGATCGCGACTGTCATTGCACTATGCGCCTTATATCCAGGCGCTAAGGATCACATTACCTCGTCCTTGTGGAAGTCCTTGAGCGGCTCGACGACGCGGCCGCGCTGTCTAAGCAGACGGACGAGCTCTGTGTCGTTGTGGTGCGTCTTGTGACGCCTGTCATTGCACTATGCGCCTTATTACCAAGCGACTGTCGTTGCACTATACACCTTATTGCAAGACGTTAAGGGTCACATTACCTCGTCCTTGTGGAAGTCCTTGAGCGGCTCGACGACGCGGCCGCGCTGTCTTAGCAGACGGACGAGCTCTGTGTCGTTGTGGTGCGTCTTGATGGTGGCGGCGTTGTTGCTGCAAAGAGCTGATGCAGATTCAATCAGGTCTGGCCGGAGAGTGCCTTGGCCTAGGAGCACTTGGTCCTCCCTGTGGAGAAATAAAAGTTTAGTGGAGGTAGACATTGTACACGCACAAACTGCACGTTATTTTTTGGACGGCTGGACTAGATTGCTACGTGAATTAGTAAAAACCGAGGGAGAGAATTTACTGGAATACCCCTCCTCATGAACACAAACAAAAAAGCAAGACAAAACATCTGATTATGACCTAAGTCGATTACAGATATAAAAAGGGGGAAATAAATTTTTTATTTGATTTTTATATTTGATTTTTGTGTTTGTTTTTTATGGGTACATTTTCGGCGCCCCCTTATTGCGTGTTCCCGCCGACGGACAGGTACTTTACGGAGTGCTTCTCCTTCGGCGGTAGGGCGCAGCAACGTCAAGGGACCCGCTGAAAATCGGTGTCGAGGCATGCCCACGGCATGCCCCGATTAATGCTGAGCCCCTATTTGACAGCAGGGCACAATGTTTCCTCTTTTTGTAATATATGTAAATGTGATGTCGCTCTGTTTGTCAAATAAAACATTTTTTACTTTTTACTTTTTTTTACTTTTATGTTGCAGCAATAAATTGATTATGCCACTTGTGAAAAAAGTCTACAAGATTACTAAAAGTCACATTTTGTCGGACGGACTGTGCTGTGTGCTGAGTGTGAGTTTACATACATTTAAAAAATTTATGAAAATTTTAGTTTTTGAACGTTTCCCGCTAGGGGCGCTGTACAATCCGTCATACATTCAATGTCATTTTTTGACGCGTTAGTGAGCGCGTTTGATGTAAACTCACACTAGGCCCTCTGATAGCCGTGAGTGGCTTTTTCAGATTCACCGGGCAATGGGTCGCATTTGTTCAACAGGGTGAATCAATTCCTAGGTGAATAAAGGAATAAAGGCGACCGTGTCGTGAACGTGAACAAAGGCGTGAAATGGTTCCGACCAAGGTGAAATGAGGACACTAAAAATTCCACTTTCTTCATCCAGATGAACAGTGGAATAATCCCAATAAATAATATTTCAACAAAAGGTAGAAAAGACTACATCTAAAAAACTTCTCACTTATTTTTGCAAATAGGCTTTTAAAAAGCACTTTTACACGTCCCAGTAATAACCTACCACTGCTTCTAGAGGTCAACACTATAGGACCTTATAATCTTGCGCTTGTCTCGGGCGGGGACCTTATGTCGGGGCCACAAGGGCGACATTGCAACACTCACTGCAGCTCGAGGTCGCGCACGGCCTGCTCGGCGACGCGGATGAACACGTCTCCTATGATCTTGCGCTTGTCTTCGGGCGCGGCGGTGTGGCATAACAGGGGCGTGTGACGCGTGCGACCGCCTGCCTCGCGGACCACCGTGCTGCCTTGCCGGAACTGCGAGAATAGCGTTTATTTTATTGAGGTTAGAGTTCATAATTCCTGGTGCGCCATACAAATAGGGTTGGAACCGCAGTCAAATAGCTGAGTCCACACCGGACGATATAAAGCGATCATCTGGTGTGGATCTAACTATTGACATACTTTTCATGAGCTGTCAAAATGCTGACCTGATTTGATTTTGTATGGAAAAAGGGGCCTACGGCGATGTCAAGTCACGAACTCAATTGACAGATTTTAGGGCTACTTTTGATATAATTTTACGGAAAATTGAAAGTGTTTTCTTTTTTAGAAGTTGTGTCAGTATTAAGGCAGATTTTAGATTCGCGCTGACCGCTCGCTGATCGTCGGCGCTGACAGATCAATATGTATGTAATTGAAGGGAACGTTCCTGAGTGAGGCTGAGCGCTCGGCACCGACGCTTCATACATTTCGGCTGTCAGCGCTGACGGTTAGCGTGCGTCAGCGTGATTAAAACCAGCCTAAGTCTATCTGAGTTCATGAACAAATTGAATATTTAAGGTTAATACATACCTGATGTGCAGCGTTGACGACGTGTAGACGAACTCCAAGATCCCGAAGACACCTTTCCACTTTGCTGCTCTCGTTTTTACGCATGAATCCTTTGAAAAAAATTATACAATAATTAGAGCTGGGACTTTAAAACTAACTTATTTTTAGGGCGCTAAAATAAGGGCTTCGTCGCATTCACCTCTGGATTTGTATCGATTGGTAATGATCCTACTCTAGTGGTGTTATCCTGATGACTGCAAATGCGATTGCTCTCTTACCGTTTTGTCGCTCACCAGTTGGCATCATTATCTTCGCCACAAGAAAGTGACAGTGACCTTAGGCAGGATTCACATTGACCGGCGCGAGTCGGCGCGCAACGCAGTGTCTGTTCACCCTAAAATGCGGTGGAATGAACGCGTCTGCGCGCGTATCCACTGGAATACGCTCGGAGCCGACCGGCTTCCGACGAAATTGAATCGATTGATTGAAATGTCAGTTAATCAGTTGTAAGCAATTACGACTCTAAGAACTGTTAATAAAATACTATTGTCTTTACGGCCGTGTAAGTGCGCTCCGACGCGCGCCGGTCAACGGGTATCGTACTCTACAGTAGAAAGAAAGAAAAAATGTTTATTTGGCACCAAATTACATGCACTTTTTAAATATACCTGCACAATATTAAACTTATTCTAATACAAAACAACTAAAGCCTGGTCCGTGAGCACGTAGAATTTTGTCCAATGACCCCAAGCTACCCATCCTTATCGGTTGCGCGTAATTATATTGCTGTCGCGACTGTGCGACAGGCGCCCGCAGTGAGTGTGCGAGTGCGACAGCAACATGATTACGCGCGAGCGATAAGGATGGGTAGCTTGGGGTCATTGGACAAAATTCTACGTGCTCACGGACCAGGCTTTAGTGGTTTACTAACAGTGGCGCCAACTAGTGAGCGCTAAAACGACAGCCTTAATTCCCGTGCATTGCTTACCATTGTCTATGTGTAAGGCGATGACCTGGTCCTCCCGCAGCGCTGTTCTGATCAGCGCGGCGCACACGGTGGAGTCTACGCCGCCGCTCACCAACACCTACGAGTAAAATAATCGTTTTATCACTACTCTAGCTGATCCGACGAACTTCTCATCGCCAATAGAAATTCTATAATAGCCTATCTTTATCAGCGTGAGATATTATTGATTGGTCTAGAGCAGCGGTCCCCAAACTTATTTTGTCTACTGCCCACTTTGAGAATAAATTCTTTTTAGCGCCCCCATTTGTAGTCGAGTGTCGAGTGCTCAGTCGGTGTCCTCCTAGTAAATGACGCCTCCCAAGCCTCTACACAACGTCCCGATTTTTTTTTCTGGGTCTCTTACCGCCCCCCTTTAAGCCTGCAGCGCCCACAAGGAGGGGCGTTATCGCCCACTTTGGGAAAGACTAGTCTAGAGGTTTCGGTGCCTATTCAATATAAATAAATACCTTCACAATATTATATTAAAAAGTAAAAACGAAGACAAGATGATTACTTTTACACTAGCTGTGCCCGCGACTTCGTCCGCGTGGTATTACTCCACGCGAATATGTTTTAGGGTGTGATCAACATACCTAAAAATCATTTATTTAACGAATACTTCGTCACATTAATCAAATTAAATCTACTACAATGGATCTACACTACTATACTAATATACTCGATTCACTACGTACCTACGTAAATAGAATTTGAAAGTCATTATAATAAGCGAGAGTGCACATTGCAACGGCAGCTGTCTTTTGAACGTACACGTTGTCTATTGTGCGGACTACGAGAGACTGGGTTCCTCGAGAGGTTTCACGAATGTGTAAATAATATGTGATTCGAACTTCAGTTAACTTCTTCAATACGTCTGAGTAATTTGACAAAGTGTATTTGAGCCTCCAGGGAATTTGACCTAGCTAAATCGTAAATTCTTAAGGCCAATACTCACCAGAACTTTGTTGTTCTCTCCCACAGTATCCCGTATGTACTGTATACAGGCCTCGCGGCGCGAGCGCAGCGTGAACGTTCGCGAGAGCCCGGCGATGTCGAACAAGAAGTTCGATAGCATCTGCTTGCCTTTGGGGGTTAGGTCCACCTGCGAATAGACAAAATATGTGAGAACTGCGATTTTTCAGTCAAAAGCAGTCAAACGGACTGTGGGACGGGCGCCCGCAGTGAGTGTGCGAGCGCGACAGCAACATAATTAACCGCGAGCGATAAGGGTGGGTAGCTTGGGGTCATTGGACAAAATTCTACGTGCTCGCAGACCAGACTATAGGCGTAAACCTCTGCCAAGAAACGCCATAAAATACGTCCCGCTTTTTAACGTTTATTTAGCTTGCCCTGTTTATTTTTTCATCCAGTCTCAGCCAGCTATATTCTTGAAGCTTGAGCCGATGTACCAAGTTTGCTGAGATGTAGTAACCCATTTGAGAACCCGTCTTCATCTATCGTCGGTTCTCCTTAACCGGCCCACTTCCACTTGAGTTTACTAACTTTTACAGCTGGCATTACAGCTTCGGTTAGTTACAGAAAGACTCTATATCCTTACTCATTATAGCCTTTAAGTGGAGACCGAGGAGAGTTGAGACATTGACGATTTTTTGGAACTTATTAACTATCAGCGAGCTCGCAACAGCACGTATTTGTTAGCTCGAGACTTGAACTAAAAAGCGCGCTCTGTTACGATCTCACTAGTAGTTAATAAGTTCCAAAAAATCGTCAATGTCTCAACTCTCCTCGGTCTCCCCTATGTATAAAAATTAATAATGTACTGTAAAGGTAAAATTAGTTCTGCGATTTTTGCATGAAAGAGTAATAATAGTAATAAATAGTTAATTGTTTATGAACTCACCTCAGGGTGAAACTGCACGCCATAAAGTCGCATCTGCTCGTTGTAGATCGCCGCGATCAGGTGGTTGGACGACTGCGCGCCCACGCGGAACCTCTCGCCGACTTTTTGCACGCTGTCGCCGTGTGTCAACAGCACTGGCTGCAGCTTCTCTAGGCGACTGTACGGAAAACATGAACATTTACCCTTTAAATGTATACCTCGGGCAGAAGTTTCAGTAAAAATCAGCCTTAACACAAGGTGATAAGATTCAAAATTATGTGAAAGCTATTTGTCTTCTGCATGTTGTCACTGACAAGATTACGAGTTGACATTTATAAAAGAGATTATAAAACAAACCAAAATAAGTTCACAAGATTTCGGACTACAACTTACGGTGATGAGGTTCAAGTGTGTGAGGACTGTTTTCCTATACATATTAACTAGAAACAGAACAGCGTGCTGTTGCCGTACATCAAAAGCATTGGTATGGATATCAAACAATCTGTACGACAAACGCACCAAATATCTTCATCATAACAAGTTTAAAAGTTTCAGTAAAATCAACCTTAATTAAATGAACAGTTTTACTTAAAATCAATCTTAATTCAAGGCAGTAAAGAAGAATAGAATAATGTTTATTTTGCTGCCACATGAATACACATACATACATAAAACAAACGGTCAACATTACAGAACCAGTCAAAAGATTGATAATTAAAATTAAAATTAATCGGGACAGTTACTTGGCGGCGCTGCAGCAGCAAAAAGGTCCCCGTCTCAGCATGTGTCAAGTGCATACCACATGACGCTGATTTTCAGACGGCGGCCGTGGTCTGAGTTACTCGGTGTATCAGGATATGAGTTTTATAAATGTCAAATTTAATGTCAAGTAGTAGATGAAATTAATACAAATAAAAAAATAATAATCAAAATCTTATGAAATTCATAACTCACTTGAAGAGGGGACAAGTAGTCTCCACCTCGACTTCGTACTGGCCGTCCTCGCGCGCTTCCTTACGGAGCACGGACCCGCCAAACTCCTTGTTCAACATCTGCATGCCGTAGCATATACCTGAGAAAAAGAGGTTTGATATAAAAAGTTCAAGGCTTCCACCAGACCAAACGCGGGTCAGAAGCAGTGCGGAAGTAGGCACACTGAATGCAGCGCAGTTTCAAAGCAGTTGCAGCGCGGCAGTAGGCACACTGAAAGCAGCGCAGTTTCAAAGCAGTTGCAACGCGGGCGGTTGTCAAAAATTTCAATATTTGAAAACCGCTTTCAACGCGCTGCTACCGCCCTGCGTCCGGTGTGTCATGCTAATATGGCCGCCATAGTAATACAACAGCGCGGGCCCGCCCTGCGCTCGCGCCGCTTCTGTCCCGCCCCCACGCCGCCTCGTTTGTCGTTCGGCAGTTGCAGTGCGGCGCGGTTGAAGCGCGGGCCCGCGTTCAAATTTGGTGTGACACACTTCAAAGAGTTTCTTGTATTACAACTTGCGCGGGCCCGCATTCAAACTGCGCTGCTACTGCCCCGCGTTTGGTCTGCCCAAGCCTTCAGAAACTACGCGAATATTAAGACCTGATAAAAGTCTGACGCTTTGGTGTGGTTGTTAATGAAAACATGTGATAAGTATAAGATTTTTAACTTTCGGAATGCGAAAATTTCAATTAAAATAGAGAAACACGGGTCTCAAATGTAACTCATATAAAATTTCGCGTTTGAGACCTGTGTTTCTATGTGGTAAGTAGTTTTACACTGAGAGTTGTATCTCTGCTTTTAAGCAACTGTCGTCGAAACGTTAGACTGTAAGTCAGGTGTTGGAACGAGTGTAGCAACAAGTCGAAAAGTCAAGTGCAACTTATGTACTACATAAGTGACCTTTTGCTTTCAATTTCAAATGCAATCGAACCATCCTTTATGGTGATGGCTGGTAGCCGGCCTTCTTCAGATGACAGCATCTGTCAGACACTTACCAAGCACCGGCAGGCCGATCTTGAATATGTCCGCATCGTATCTAGGCGCGTCCTCTGCATACACCGAGTTGGGCCCGCCCTATATGATAATAGCGCGGTAGCCCTCCGTGATCTGTCAATGACACGTGTCACTAAGCCCTATGACATCTGTCAGACACTCACCAAGCACCGGCAAGCCGATCTTGAATATGTCCGCATCGTATCTAGGCGCGTCCTCTGCATAGACCGAGTTGGGCCCGCCCGATATGACGATGGCTAGAAGCCGGTCTCTTTCAGATGACAGCATCTGTCACTGACACATGTCAGACACTCACCAAGCACCGGCAGGCCGATCTTGAATATGTCCGCATCGTATCTAGGCGCGTCCTCTGCATACACCGAGTTGGGCCCGCCCTATATGATAATAGCGCGGTAGCCCTCCGTGATCTGTCAATGACACGTGTCACTAAGCCCTATGACATCTGTCAGACACTCACCAAGCACCGGCAGGCCGATCTTGAATATGTCCGCATCGTATCTAGGCGCATCCTCTGCATACACCGAGTTGGGCCCGCCCGATATGATGATGGCGCGGTAGCCGGCCTCCTTGAGATGGTAGGCGGGCGTGTCCAGAGGCAGTATGTCTGATTCCACGCATAACTCGCGCACGCGGCGGTCTATCACCTGGGAAACAGATAATTACAACAATGAGGGCTATCGTTTTAGCGCTCACCACTGTAGAGTAAGGTCCTGTCACTTGCTTGTAGCGAAGACAGTGGCACCAACTGGTGAGCGCTAAAGTGGTATACTATCGCATTTGCACTCATCAAGATGGCGCCACTGTAGAGTAAGGTCCTGTCAATCGCCAGGGCTGCCAACTGTTAAGTATAAAAACGATAGCCCTCATTGAATTAAAAACTCATTTCATTTTTGCAAGTAAACCTTTAAAAAGCACTTTTACACGTCCCAGTATTAACCCTACCACTGCTTCTGGACAATAAATGAGCTGTGAATAAAAAGTGCTGAGAAAAAGCAGCGTAAGAAACTCAGTCACTATTGTCAGAATGAGATTGGCTTACACTACATAAAGAAAAGATTGAGGAAGTGATTAAATTATTAAATTCTATGTAACTTTATCAACTTAGTGTTTATGAGAAGGCAGTATGCCTATTGTAATTTGAATAAACAAGTCTTGTGTAGTGCTCATGTGAATTTGAGTAATCAGCAATCATTTCTATAGAGTTCTTAGGGATTCCCCTGAGTTTGGCAGCTAAATATAAATCTCATTATGTCACTGTTACATTTTAAACACAAGAAGAATCTAATATCTCAATAAATAGATGCTATATTTAAGAAAAACTTGTGTTGAAAATTTCTAAGCAAGTAATTAAAATTCTTCAAAGTCCTCTTATGATCTTCTGATTATTTCATTGTGGGTCCAATGACAGTTTAACTATCCCCGGTACAAACTTCACCTTCACTGGTTGGGTTTTTATTGGCGGTCAATCTGTAGACCCTGGCTACACAGGAGTTGCAGCGGTGGACCGAGAGGTGGGAATAGTCCCGTTAAACAAATAATTAACTTTGAATGTTGTATCTCTCTTACGACTACTATCCTCACCTTCCCATACTGCGAGCCGGCATCCAAGATGGCGACCTTGTCACGGCCGTGGGTGGAGCCGTTGGTACCTCGGTACTGTCCCTCTGCACTGGCCGTGTGCATTTCGCCTCGTCGCCAGCAGCACTGAGGGACAAAACATTAGTTACTCACTCACAAACTAAATAAAGTTGACTTAGGCTGAGTTGCACCACCTTATTTTAACCGTAACATTGACAATATCGGTGCTTTTTGTATGGAGTTTGACAGGTTTTTGACATTTGTCAAAGTTAAATGGTGCAACCCAGCCTTAGCATACACAAATTAAACAAGACAAGCATTTCTACATCTTGATAAAGTCGACTCTGGATGGAATGTATAAACTGACATGGCAAACCAGATGAAATAATAAACAGATTCAGCAGGATTTTCTCAAAAGTTTTAGTTTAGTTATCATATTCTTGATGTTGTTTGTGTCACTGAATAAAACATTTCATTTTCAATTATTAAGACAATGGATTTCTCCAAATTGAGTTCAAGAATAGAACTAAAGCAGAGTAAAGAAAGAACTAATACAGTGCTTTCTGTACAGCTGTCACAAAAGCGACGCTATTGTATTATGGCGCGAAATCACGAAGTTAGAGATAGAGCATCAAGATTTTCTTGTTGCCCCTGTTTTAAAATTCATTTTCACTGATAATGACTGAAACTAGAAGTGCTAACTGCTATTTAGATCCATTGGTGTACATATTTGTATGAAATGATTTTATAATTAACTTAATTGTTTTTAAATCAATCTATTACGAGTCTCATTATTTAATAAACTAGTATTATAAGTAAAAATATCTAACATGAAATTGTAATTTTGCTCAAGTTAATTGAAATTGAAATTGTAGACAATGCACTTTGTGTAATGTAAACAACATTGTGAACAATGAATTAGAATCACAGAGATTTATTAAAGTTAACTGATTTAAACAGATTTACAAGTCAAGTTTAAAAATATTGAGGACAAATAAAATAAATCCTCTTTATTCTTTTTAACAAAAGTCATTGTTTCACTCAACAAAAAAGTTCACAGTACCTTGAACAAAAAGTTTCTAAAGCCAAACATCACAACACAAATGGACAAAGCTTAACTCATTCTTAGAAATAAACTCTGTCATTATTTACAACAAAATTAAATCACAAGTCATCCCTTGAGCAAAAGTTGTTAGGTTTTAATTGTAAACATTTACATTCACTTTGTTGGGAATATCATTGGACTGTACTGATCCACACTCATGCGTCGACTGTGTTATTTATAGAAAGCATCCCACATGAAGATGTAAATATACACAAACTTTTATATGCTTACTACTATTCATCTGCACAATAGAGTGGTCCAAATGTTTATATAAATAGTATATTATATGGATACTTACATAATTTGAGTAAATTAGTGTAGTTTATATGTGACAGAAATTATATTGAAGATGGAGTGTAGTTTGAGGTGACATTGAAACTGAAACTAGGTCACTGTAACATCTAACCAAACAATATGTGTTTGTGAATTTGTGTGTTGGATTTTAAATAAAAGTTATATTTTTGTATTTGATTTAGGATTACGAAATAAAATGTGTAGGTAGTATTTAATTTTTTTCATAATTTTGCTGAAAAATTAAGATTTATCTAGTGGTATTATTTTAGTTTTGTTATTTAAATATTATTTACTTACATATAAAATAATTCAAAGGCTTCTAAGGTACTATGTATTCATCATAGTTAAGATAAATAAGAAAATTTTAATATTTTACTTAAATATTTTAACCTAAACATGTTCAAAAACATACCTTGTCTTGAAAATCTGATAACAAACTGACTCCAAGTGGTCACTTAATGGACACATTTTTAAAGGTTAACTTAAAAGGTTATCACACCAATACACTTATCAGATTTGTCTAACATCAAACAATTGTAAATAATGATGTAATATTGGCAATACTATCACGTTTAGAGCATAGAAACACGATTCATGAACACAAAAGGCAAAAAATAAACGCAGAGACTTGAAACAAAGGGTTAAACACATACCTTTCTGAAAATACAAAACATGCTCCAACTAGACCACTATCTGAGTATGGTACTTTTGCCATTATTGGAAGAATCAAAGATGTTCGAGATTGAATGATAAAATAAATGATAACATTGAGATAAACCAAGCATTTACAAGCGGAGGACGAGATCGCGGGCCGGGCGACACGATGCGTTCACTCTCTCAAGTTCACAACTAATCACATTTATTTACATCACGATGGCGCAGCGCGCGTACTATACACAACACCATTCCCACAATTAATCCATACTGCTAATTAGCAGTCAGTAAAACTGCGCATAATTGCACAGAAATGCCGAATAAAACCGCTCTTTGACAATACTTTCTGGGTCATAACCGAAGACAACTCGTAGCAGCCGCCCAATATCTTCCCAATAGTTATTTGTATGTATTTATGACACATGTAATGGATTTTTGGACTTACCTAAAAGAAAATATTCGTGATTTTAGGAGAAAATGTTCATGAAAAACACGGAAAAATGTGATTCTCCATTCAGCACTACGAATACAAAATTTTAGTACTGAATTTCACCCACAGATAGCGCTTTTGAATCGACGATATCTTGCGTTCAAAATGTATTTATTTCTTGTAAAAAAGCTTCTTTCTATTGAATTCGAATATCGATAATTTATTAAATTATAAGTTTGATATCAAAACATTTTATAAAGATTAAATCTTTATTTTAATAGGTTTTAAGTTTATTTCATATTTATTAAAATGATCTGAATTACAAATAAAATTAGGTTTTTATAAACGCGATTAAAACTTATGCTTGTCATTCCCATCGCATACGTTACGTTTCACAAAAAAAATCTTTGAATTCAATTACGTTTCTTTTATTATCAGAATTTTTTACGATTATTTATAGTAGAAATGCTTTAGAAATTAACAATTTGACTTGGTTTTAGTAATTTGATTTCTAAATTATGCGATACATGTTCGATCGTGGAAAATTTCAATAAAACTTTTCGTATTAGTTTTGAGTGAAACGAACACAAGTTTCAACGTTTTTTCATTCTACGCATGAACCGTACTACGAACTACAACCAAAATTCATAATAATTAGTCATCGAATTGACAGAAGCGTGAAAAGGAGTAACCTAAGTTTGGTGGAGGATTGATGACGGGAAGAATATTGTAGGAAATATTACTATTTTACTTGATACTTTTAGTAAAGAAATTAGCAAAAATGCCAGACCATTTGGGAGATGATATGCGCAAAGTGAAAGATGATAAAGAGGAGCCCGAAAAGGAAATCAAATGTAAGTATTGTTACTGACACCAAACATTAACCTTTTGTTAAATCTATGCCATTAAAAATTACTAACTAAAATCATATTATTTCAGCTTTGGATGAAGGAGACATAGCCCTTTTGAAATCATATGTAAGTACGATTCCGTGGTATTTATTTTAAACAATGATGACTGGCAAAAATTCACTATTGCATTTCCGAATTACAGGGGCAAGGGCAGTACACAAAAATCATCAAAGAAGTTGAGGATGGTATCCAGACTGTGATGAAGCGGGTCAATGAACTCACGGGCATTAAGGAGTCTGACACAGGGCTGGCACCTCCTGCTCTGTGGGATTTGGCAGCAGACAAGCAGACTTTACAGAATGAGCAACCCCTACAGGTTTGTTACTCAACTACCATTTGTTTGTAACATACATACTTACAGACAGTGAGCATGCTTCAATATTTTATTGCCACCAGGAATATGAAGACTGATATTATTGATTTATTTGAAATAGGTCATGGTATTTTTTTTATACAGAACAAGGCAGGTATTTGACTGCAATCACACCTGATGTTAAGTGAGATGCAGTCTAGGATGGTGTCTTAATTTTTCTGAGTAATAATATCACATGGAAAAATGTGTATGCTACTTAACTCATCAACTCTACAGCTTAAATCATGTGCTGAAGAATATTGTGTCATCCAGTTGTTCTTCTTCTTCTCGTGTCGACAACAAACCTACACAGTGTTAGCCCAGTTGTTAATATTGTCATTAATAAATTGTAAGAAAGTGATTAATTAGGATTATTAACTTTGTTATCTTTTGCAGGTGGCCAGATGCACTAAGATCATAAATGCAGACTCAAATGACCCTAAATACATTATCAATGTCAAACAGTTTGCCAAATTTGTGGTCGATTTGGCCGACTCCGTTGCCCCCACTGATATTGAAGAAGGAATGAGAGTTGGGTAAGTGAATGTAAAAATTAGACCTTATTTAATTTATGTCAATAATGCTATTTGTATCTACTCACACCTAAAGTCATATTTTACAAACTTAGGCTGAGTTGCAGCCATCTCATTTTAACATTGACAAACGTAAAAAATCTGTCCAAAAGCACCAGTTATTGTCACTGTTACGGTTAAAATAAGGTTGTGCAACAGCCTTAAACTTGAACACAAATTAGCAAAACTCAAAGTCCTAAGTTATTTTCACGTCTCCTATGAGGTATTGAGACTTCACCATACTGAATGGGGATGATAGATCGGATTTTCATTAAAGTAATTGCAAATTCGGACACACATCCCCTATATTATTGTTGATCGCAGCAGCTCATTCCTTATAGATATATTTGAATGGGTTATTACTTTCAACAACAAAAATTCTAATTTTATCTTTGTATTACACATTAGAAATTTCTAGAAAACGTTATAACTTAAAAATCTTTTTCTGTAATCCAGTGTGGACCGAAACAAGTATCAAATCCACATCCCCTTGCCGCCCAAGATCGATCCGACGGTCACCATGATGCAGGTTGAAGAGAAGCCAGACGTAACGTACAGCGACGTCGGAGGCTGCAAGGAGCAGATTGAAAAGCTGAGAGAAGTTGTAGAGACTCCGTTGTTGCATGTAAGTTATTGTTGGAAATGATTTTTAGAGATTTTATTTGGGCGCAGTTACACTATGCGAGAATTTGATAGAGACATAGGGCTATATTTCACCGGGACCACATGGCGGCGCAACCAGTCGCCGCTACCATCAAAATGTATACAGCTTTGCGCAACCAAACAGACACCAGGTGAGTAACTCTATAGAGCTGTATACATTTTGTTGGTAGCCGGCGACTGGTTGCGCCGCCATGGTGTCCCAGTGAAATATAGCCCATAGTGTAAACACTCAATTCAGCTAGTTTCGTTGTGTGTCGTCGATACTTCGGTGTGCTCACGCTTCGCCAATTTCCCGCATAGTGTAACGGAGCCATTATGGGGAGTAAAGAAAGACTGCTGTATACAAGCTTAGGCAGCTGTCTGATACACCTCTCCTATAGCAAACAGCATAAGATGGCTTTGCTTAGTGAAGACTGAGGCAAGGTTAGAATTTGCAGGACAAAAACATTAAAATCTTTTATAAAATACAAATCTCAATTCAAACTCTAGATTATGGTAATGATATGAAGAAATTCAGCCAATCACAGGCTCTGATCTATGCTTTACTTTGTATTGAGTTTCATTTTTCATTATACTGGGTAATAACATTTTAATTTTTGGCATCTTTTTAAAATAAGACTACTCATGATACAGTCAGCCTCAAGTCCATGACATCCAAGGTAGCAAAAATGTTCGCCAAGGTAGCAAATGTGGACCGACGATCTGGTAAAGGTCGCGGGAAGAACCTGGATGCGGGCGGCGCAGGACCGTTCATTACGGAAAACCTTGGGGGAGGTTTTTGTCCAGCAGTGGACGTCATTTGGCTGAAACGACGATGTCTTTGTTACGGTTGGAATAAGGTTGTCTTGTCAACTTTTTGGCCACTGGGTGTCACGTACTATTTGACGCTGACTGTGCATAGTATATTCCCCAAATAAGCCTCCTCTCTAAGAACCTTTCCCCCTGGATTAAAATGAAATTTCCATACTAAATGACAGTTTAATTAAATCAGAGTTTAACTAGGGTGTAACTTTTATTAATAAGGGGGTTTTTGTTTATGTAACAGCCGGAGAAGTTCGTCAAGCTTGGTATCGAGCCGCCAAAAGGCGTGCTACTGTTCGGACCCCCCGGTACGGGCAAGACGCTCTGCGCTAGGGCTGTCGCAAACCGCACTGATGCGTGCTTCATTCGAGTTATCGGTGAGTAGAACTATAGTCTGGTCTGCGAGCACATAGAATTTTGTCCAATGACCCCAAGCTACCCATCCTTATCGCTTGCGCGTAATTATGTTGCTGTCGCGACTGTGCGACGGGCGCCCGCAGTGAGTGTGCGAGCCGGCTTTAGGAAGTTTGTTTTTAACTTGTGATAACGTGATTATATGAGTGAATGTCACCTTTATCGACCAGTGGCCTAATTCACGTATTTTGACAGTCAAGATCTCGCTGATGTTCAGAAGTCGTCCCATTGAAAAACAGTTCTAAATCCTTATTCACAAGGGTCATTTCGATGGAACGATTACTCGATAGGATCGCAACTCAGCGATTTGTTGTCGTTGAAGTTTTGTTACGTCGTCCCATTGAAAAACAGTTCTAAATCCGTATTCATAAGGGTCATTCCGATGGAACGATTACTCGATAGGATCGCAACTCAGCGATTTATTGTCGTTGAAGTTTTGTTACGTGAATAAGGCTACTGGTTACACAGACATGGCCACTCGTACAGCGTCGTTGCACAGATACATTCTTAGCCATGACAAAACCTTGGCACAATATTTCATTAATTAGTTTTTTATTAACGTTTGTTTTTTTTCCTATTTTTCTTTTTCCCTGTAACAAATAGTTTTGGTTTAATTAAATTTTGTGCTTTTATTGCATGCTCGTACACACGCCAACACTGTTAACTATCCATTTCCGTTTTTGCTCTCGCTCCCATCAAATGACGATTCTTTGCGATAGAACGAGACGACATTGACAGGCAATGGATAGTTAAAACTGTTGCCGATGGTACTTGGGAAGTAAAGAAAGAATGCTGTCTTAAGCTTTGGCAGCGTTTTGATACAACTTCCCTAAAGTAGCACTACATTCCTAATAGCATTGTCGTTTGTAGACTTTGGCAATGTTACCAAAATGTAGAACAATTTTAATGCAATCTTCATTAAACATTGGTTATGGATTTCAATTCATTAAAATAATTATGTTGAATTTCGAGTCCAAACCGACAAGAATGGAAGAGTGAGATTGAGGTTAGTTATAGATTTATATTTGTCTGACGTGTATTGTCGTGACGGATCAGTACCTCTAGCATGAACAACTTTCGTCTTCGAATCGTTTGCGTACTCGATAAAATTCGATACTCAATCTTCGAATTAAACGATAACGTGACAATTTTGATTCTCAAAATAAGTTTCGTGCAACCACATCTCATATTAAGTTCACTTTACGACACGTTCAACGCACCTGTAACGCCCCTGGGTCTGCGGGTGTCTATGGGCGACGATAATCACTTACCATCAGGTGATCCGTCTGCTCGTTTGCCTCCTATCACATAAAAAAAAAAAAAAAAAACGTTCACAAGGGCGCTGTTGTAGTTTTCTTATTAAATCTTTTGATGGCGATTCGAGTACGCAAACGATTTGAACTCGAAAGTTTTTCGTGCTAGCCGTACGGAACGGAATTAGTTTCATACATTTAGTATGCGACACATAGAACACTATAAACTAGTGCCGTGAGTATACTAACGCCCGTATTCACAACCGATGCTTGCTTAAGTGAATCAGCAAATCGAACGCACAGCGTTGAATAGAGCTCTATGATTGGTTCGTGTGTCACCCTGTGCGTCCACGCGCACTAGGAGACCTCATAGTAATGTTTGTGAATACGGGCGTAAATCATCAACCAATTTGATGCGCCACGTCACAACACGTCAGTAAAATATAAATCCAGTTTTAATAGTTTTTTAATACGGGCCAATTTAAATGCAGGATCTGAGCTGGTCCAGAAATACGTGGGTGAAGGTGCTCGTATGGTCCGCGAACTCTTCGAGATGGCGCGAAGCAAGAAGGCTTGTCTGATCTTCTTTGATGAAATCGACGCTATCGGCGGTGCAAGGTAATGTAGGCTTTAGGCAGGGTACTCACCTGCTATGTAGCACGTAACGTAGTATGTAACGTGTACAACCTTCAAGTGAGTACGGCTCGTCTACGGTCATCGCTTATCTAGCTACGAGCTCCCGGATCCTAAAGCGAGTCGCCTTTGTGCTCGCAGTGATACCGCCACTCGGCGGGTCGCTGCGATCTCCCTGCGAACCACGCGCGAGCAGCTCGCAGCGGGCTCGTGTCTATGTACTCACTTGATACAGTATCTGATACATTCCATGCTACACGGCTAGATGAGTACCCTGCTCTACGATTAGTAATTTCATCGGATGAGTTTGAACCATAAGCCAATGGGATAAAGAGTTTATTAACACGCTGGCGAGAGTGCTTGTATGGTCCGCGAACTCTTCGAAATGGCGCGCAGCAAGAAGGCTTGTCTGATCTTCTTCGATGAGATCGACGCTATCGGCTGTGCAAGGTAATATAAGCTTTACGATTAGTAATGTTATCGGTTGACTTTGAACCTTATGCCAATGGGATAAAGAGTTTATTAACACGTTGGCGAGAGTACTCGTATGGTCCGCGAACTCTTCGAGATGGCGCGCAGCAAGAAGGCTTGTCTGATCTTCTTTGATGAGATCGACGCTATCGGCGGTGCAAGGTAATATAAGCTTTACGATTAGTAATGTTATCGGTTGACTTTGAACCTTATGCCAATGGGATAAAGAGTTTATTAACACGTTGGCGAGAGTACTCGTATGGTCTGCGAACTCTTCGAAATGGCGCGCAGCAAGAAGGCTTGTCTGATCTTCCTTGATGAAATTGACGCTATCGGCGGTGCAAGGTAATGTAGACTTAACAATTAGTAATTTCATCGGTTGAGTTTGAACCTTATGCCAATGGGATAAAGAGTTTATTAACACATCGGTGAGAGTACTCGTATGGTCTGCAAACTCTTCGAAATGGCGCGCAGCAAGAAGGCTTGTCTGATCTTCCTTGATGAAATTGATGCTATCGGCGGTGCAAGGTAATATAAGCTTTACGATTAGTAATGTTATCGGTTGACTTTGAACCTTATGCCAATGGGATAAAGAGTTTATTAACACATCGGTGAGAGTACTCGTATGGTCTGCGAACTCTTCGAAATGGCACGCAGCAAAAAGGCTTGTCTGATCTTCCTTGATGAAATCGACGCTATCGGCGGTGCAAGGTAATGTAGACTTTACGATTAGTAATGTTATCGGTTGAGTTTGAACCTTATGCCAATGGGATAAAGAGCTTATTAACACGTTGGCGAGAGTACTCGTATGGTCCGCGAACTCTTCGAGATGGCTCGCAGCAAGAAGGCTTGTCTGATTTTCAAGGTAAATATAGGCTTTGGCGATGAAACTCAATCGAGTTTGAACCTTATGCAAATGACAAACTTGATGTTACTGACTTTTAGAGCTCCTCCACTTTAAGGTGCGTATAGGCTAAAGCATTTACTTGTAACAGAACAACGAAGCGCTCTATGAAATGTTCTAGTGTTCACCCTTTCAAGAACTAAACGTCGTACATATTATTCATTCGTCAGAACGTTACATACATTGAAATGCTCTAGTCTATAATCACCATAAGCGATTGTCCAGATGTGATAAGTTCGATTTTGCAACATATTTTATGTATAGTATGATGTGCTTTCAACTGTAAAAATACATCCCACCAATAACATTCTGTAAAAAACTAGCCAAGTCTCGATGGAGCTGCTTGTTTATCTCTAAAAAGTANAAATAAACTCAACGACCTTTAAAATGGACAACAAAGCAGAAGTTGTATTAATAACTTAACCTTAGCCAACCTCACCATATAATAAACGAAATCAACGAAATTCAAATATTTACACAACATTCAACTTAATCGACGGGGGGATCTAGAAAGGAAATAAAATCTGGACACCGCGGTGCAGAAAAATGACGCTCAAAGTGCTAGCGCCATCTAGCGGTGAGCGGTATAGGCGAACACCACGGTGCCGGTGTGGTGCTAGTAGTATTGATTATGAATGTGGTGTTACTCCAGATTTTCGATTTTCCTAGTTTTTATAGTTTTCCCTTTATGTGGCCATTAAACCCTAACTCTGTACCAAATTTCAGCTCTCTGAGTTGATGGGAAGTACTAGTTCTATTTTGATGATCATCAGTGAGTGAGTGAGTGTCGTAAATGCGAAACTTTGCTTTCGCGTAACTTCGGAACTAAATGACCTACAGACTTGAAATTTTGGATTTTAAGTATGTGATTATAGCTTACTAGATGACGAAAATTTCAGCGTTCTGGTCTTATCCAGAGGTTCTCAAATAGAGGCCTGAAAATGCGGCGAAATGGTTCCAGTAAAGGATGGTACGGCAGTGTTTGCTTCGCGCTCGACTTGGCGGGGGCACTGCCGTGCCCCCAGATTAAAATCAATGTTTTTTTCATGGGGAATCTTAACTGGAATGCTGACTAAAAGTTTATCAGTGTTCTCTTAACTTCCCCTAAAGCAAACAAACTGCCACTGACTTTGCATAAGCATAAAATATAGATTCCTTTGATCCAGGTGGAAATGCTTTTATTACCCAGAAAACGTGTGAACCCAATCCCAAACCAGTGTAATTTCGACCTGTGTTTATTAAGCTATATTTTACTGCTTTAGTAAAGATTAATGCAAGGCATGTTAAGCAGTTTGACATTAAAATATTAATACAACACGATCAAGGTTAACTGCGCACCTCGTTGTAATGCTACTCTCCCGCGCACTTCCCCGCGTTCGCAGAGCGTCGATGTGACGTCACAGCAGCCAGATGCGCAGTTAGCTCGACCGGGTTGTAATGAGGGCTATCGTTTTAGCGCTCACCAGTTAGCGCCACTGTAGAGTAAGGTCCTGTCACTTGCTAGTCGCGAAGACAGTGGCACCAACTGGTGAGCGCTAAAGTGGTAGGAGGACTATCGCATGATGGCGCCACTGTAGAGTAAGGTCCTGTCAATCGCCAGGGGTGCCAACTGTTAAGTATAAAAACGATAGCCCTCATTGTAGCATTATAATATTACAAAAGAAAAACATATGGATCACAGAATAATATTACAGATTTGACGACGGCGCGGGGGGTGACAATGAAGTCCAAAGAACCATGTTGGAGCTGATCAACCAACTGGACGGGTTCGACCCTCGTGGAAACATTAAGGTAATGATTTATAATAATGTCAGTATTTACCACGGATATAGCCCAGCTGAGGTAAAATCTACAGCGCATGGAAGGGTGTTTTGTTACTTCAAACGTCAGCGACTTTATACATCGAGTTGCTTCACCTAACTTTAATCGTAACGTTGGAGTTTGACAGATTTTTACGTTTGTTATAGTTAAAGTAATATGGTGCAACGCAGTAACAGCCCTGTTATATATCATTTCTCATTGTCGTATAAACTTACTCAGATATATGCTATGTTCATAGTGAATAGGTGTGATTTGCAAAAATAACAACGATTGCTGACATAGTGTGTTAAAACTCGATCTATCTCATAAGATCCATTCACTAGATCCATTATGGATCTACTGAGATTTTATTTTCCAACTAGATCCACCGTGGATCTAATGAGAAGTTATTTATCATTTGATACACCATTACTCCTAGTCGCTACAAATGGATCTGAGGAGAATATTTTTCTCATTAGATCTATTGATATGCCCGAGCATGGATCTGTGTATTTTAAAGGAATTCAAAATTCCTTTTTACAAAGTTGCATTTTGTAGTACACCTACACTCAAACGGAAATAATATTAAATGTTCCATTTGTTTTAGGTTCTAATGGCGACCAACAGGCCTGACACGTTAGACCCCGCCCTAATGCGTCCCGGCCGCCTCGACCGCAAGGTGGAGTTTGGCTTGCCGGACTTGGAAGGCCGCGCCCACATCTTCCGCATCCACGCCCGGTCGATGAGCGTCGAGAGAGACATCCGATTCGACTTGCTAGCTCGACTGTGCCCGAATTCTACTGGTGCTGAAATTAGGTACGTTATATTGTGGGCTTTGTTATTAAGCCGTAAAGGTCGGGTTTAGCTTGGGTACACTTCCAATTTAGAAGTGTCACATGAGATTTGTCCAGCTTACTCTACTGGTGCTAAAATTATGTAACAAGATAGGTGTGGTGATAAGTCATAACAAAATAATGGGAAGTTATAAATAAATAAGTTAGCCACAAAAATACATGATTTTCCGGGTTCGGAGTTCGGACACACATTATGTACCTAGACTGATTCAAGTTTTTCTATATTATGTATCTTATTAGTTACTGTAAACAAATGCTATAGTCGTGATATTTTCATAGTACCATTTTTATAGATTGGGACCTCCGCGGCCGATTCGAAAGTCAGCAATTTCATCCCCGTAAACGGCTGGAATGTTGTGGTGAACCCCCTCCTAACACAAGTTTATTTAATTCCACTAGAAGGGTTAACAAGAGTATTCGACATTTGATGTTCTTTTAAATAAAAGGTTAACCATAACTTTTCCTACAGGTCCGTCTGCACAGAAGCGGGTATGTTCGCGATCCGGGCCCGCCGCAAGGTGGCCACCGAGAAGGACTTCTTGGAGGCAGTCAACAAGGTCATCAAGTCCTACGCCAAGTTCTCAGCCACGCCAAGATACATGACCTACAATTAAACCGCTTTGTGCCTTGTCTTCTACGCAGTAAAGTCCAAAACTGTAAGGTTTTATTGTGAAAGACAATTTGCGTGATTGAAAGAGATATCTTCACCCTTTGAAAATGTGCATAAAGAGTTTCATGTTGCTTGTTGCCGGTCGCCATTTTGTGAAGTTGTCAAAAACAAAATGGCAGCCTGTCGCAATGCTTAGAATGTTCGTAATTCTTTTGTTGTATGTCGAAATGGGTGAGATCTCTTTGTTAGATGGTATTTACTATTTACATATGATTTTTCTGTAATAAATATAATAAATAATTATTAAAAGACTGGTTATTTTATTTATTAAGCGAACTTTTATAGGAGTAGAATTTAGTAACATCTTCCCTCATTCCTGTTTGCTTCCCGGGTGACAAATATTGTCAATAATGTCTTTGTTGCATATTTTTTTCTATTCTGCCTTTGATCTGTTTGCTCAAAAATATAAACGAATATGTTGGGTACATTGGGCTAAAACTTACATAAAAATATTCATTTCACCATTGCATATTCTTAGCCACATCTTCATGTGTTTTCATGCAGTAATAATTTTATTCATACATATTATACGCTTCTTTATGACTACAAAACATATTAAAAATGATAAATGGATAGTTTACATATTATGCAACAAATAAATTACAATAAATTTAAAGTACCTACAGTCTACACTAAAACCATCGAGCCATATGACTGTATAGTTTAAGATATCTATCGCGAAGATCATGCAAAATTTGCGCACAAACTACGTAATTGTTATCTATCCATTCTATCATAAGGGCAACCGTACACTCGAATAACGCATAACGTTGCTTTTGATATAAAAAAAAAATCGTGTTGAGTAACTTTATCATTATTTTTTTTGGGACGTGTTTATAAGTGCTTTTTAAAAGCCTGATTGCAAAAATAAAATGAGTTTAAAGCGCTATGCTATGACTGAGTTTCTTGCGCTGTTTCTTCTCAGCACTGGTCCATTTGTTATCCCGAAGCAGTGGTAGGATTAAAGTCAAAGTACTGGGACGTGTAAAAGAGTTTTCTATAAGCCTACTTGCAATATAAATGAATTGGAATTTGTGGTCTAGAAACGAACTTTTCCAGACAACCTACGGAGCTAAGGAGAGGACTGTTTAAATTAAGTAAAATGGATGGCGGTGATTCATATTGTGAATCAAGAGATTTAGATCCATTTTTTAGAATATGTACCTACTTACCTACTTATTTTAAATTTATTTATTTAATAGGACAACCAACAAGACATTACCTACACTAAAAGAAAAACAATATTTACAGCGTATTTAAACTTAATATAAAAGTGCTGCCTTAATTATAAACCATGACTGACGTGTTTCAGAAATCAAGCATGTGACTAATTTTCAGATAGACTGTATCAACTCAGGCAAATTAGTTTTAGTGTGCGCCGGCCCTAAGAGAATGGCGTTTCATTCTGTTTCATACATAATGTATAATTAGTTGACGTCTCGCGCTTTCATTCTATTACACCTGCCTGGGATTATCTACCGGCACTTGACTATCGCATGTCTTCGTTAGCTCAAATTATTTCGATAACTACAATGAAATTGACGATCAAAATTGTCTAGTAATTGACGGTAGATGTTTCTTTTAAAGGGTTCTTTTTTTTAAATAATGAGGGTACTCTGACTTAAGAGATTATAGTGCGTGTGTAACGGGTGTGACTGTGTTTTGTTTAATTTAATTTGAAAAGAAAGTGGTTTGTGATAAGTGTTTGTATGTTTTATTAAAAGATGTCTGTTAATGTAAGTACCCTAGTGTTTATTACTTAGTAGGTACGAGGATTTACTAATTAGGTTTTATTAATAACGGCGTCCGGATGAATATTCCAAGTTATTCATGAGTTATTTATAAAATATTTATGACCATATTGATGCCACAATGATAACGAAGTTTCGTGGGGTAAAAAATTTTAGGGATTTAATAACGTTTTTTAATTTTAAACTCAAGTTATTTTTATGCTTTTGATTATTACTGAATAACCAAGTTGGTGAAGATCGCGGGAAGCGACTGAATGCGGACAGCGCCAAACCGGCCGCTGTGGAAATCTGTGAGGCCTTTGTCCAACAGTGGACAGAATTTGGTTGATAAAACGAACAAACGATTGTTTTGTTTATTTCATATTAAGGCTGAGTTGCACCATCTTGCTTCAACTTTAACAAATGTCATAATCTGTCAAACTACATCCAAAAAACACTGGTTATTGTTATGGCTAAAGTACGTTGGTGCAAAATAGGAACGGGACTATTCCCACCTCTCGTTCCCACCGCTGCAAATCCTGTGTAGCCAGGATCTACAGCTTGACCGCCAATAAAAACCCAACCAGTGAAGGTCAAGTTTGTCCCGGGGGAAAGTTAAACTGTCATTGGACCCGCAACGAAATTAATCAGAAAAATAATTAAATAGGAAATTGAATCGCAGGATGCATATACCGACGTTGTGGAGCTATGCGCGTTGCTACAGTGCTTGGGCTTCAGCGTACGTTCACTGGAGACGAGTGAAGTGAACCTCAGCCAGGATGTCGGCACCAGGACCGTGGTTATCAACTGTCAGGTACGATGTTATGGCCTTGGGTGGCTGATACTCTGGCCTAGGGGGCAAATCAGGCAGGCAGGGTTTCCCGCACTTAGATACTTACTTGAGGACGAAACATAAGGTAGTTAGGTATTTATAAGAGTTTAATTTCCTGGCGGGAACTGCCCTCCCCTGCCCTCTTCGGTGGCATATGGTTATGGCCTGGCTGAAAAACTCAGGAGAATGGAATGGTCAAAATTGTGGTTTAAAGTTTTCAATGTTTTTAAGGATTCAGACTGATGAATAGGAACAGCAATAATATTAAATTCCTGTACTATAATAACTTTGCTTAAATTCTGTTGCAGTATAAATGCCTCTATACTATCTATTTAACTTCTCTACATATTTAAACCTGTAAACGAATTTTTGTCATCCTAAGGCACTGTCATTGGCCTATTTCCAGTCTTCAGGACTGCACGTGGTGCTGGAGAGTCCAGGCTTGGCGTGCTCGTGCCCCGCCACCGACCAACAGAACAGCGGCGTTTGGCAGGTGTCCGGCGTGACTGGCGGCAAGCATCTTGATAAGGTACGGCTTATTGTTTTAACTGTTTTGAACTTTATTAAGAGTTATGGTCAAAAACTTATGAAAGTTTTCAATATGCTATACCCTGTAGAGGGTTCTGGAGTTTTAAAATTGGCTTTGGAGTGAGCCTCTTTATTGAGTCTTTAAAATTTTTCGCCTCCCCCAATGATTTCCATACTGCCCGGTTGGTAGTGGCCTGCATCCAGCACCTTCCTGCTATGAGGTAGCCAGTCCACCTTGTGGGTGGACCTCCCACGCTGCTTTGTCTGATACGTGGGTTCTATTCCACTCCAGAACCTTGCTGCCCCATCGGCCGTTACTTCTGCGTACTATGTGCCCTGCCCATAGCCACTTCATCCTCATCACCATCTTATTCCTTCATCCCCAGGAGTTCGGCTGCACCCTCCTCGGTTCTCTCCCAAAGCCGCACCGCGAGCGTCTGACGAAGGAGCTACGGGAGATGATCCGGTGCATCAAGCAGCACAACGACTCTGATCACGATAAGAAGAAGGAGCTGAATAAGTCTACTAGCATCATCGAGCTTAATACGCCGGAGAAGAGGTGGGCAGGTCTAGATTACCTACGAGTACACTTGCTTGTTTATTTTGATATTTGATACTCTTGAACCTAGCACGAGTTAAGAATTCATTTAGGTGAATTAATAATAAGGTATCTTTATAGAGACCTCTGATAATAAATTATAACAGTTAAATATATGTATATTAAGTTTGATACCAGGAATGTGAACTAAAATTGGTTCTACAGAAGAAAGGTGTAAAGAAAAATGCAACCACAAAAATCAGTGTCGTGAATACAAATCTTAGTTAAGAAATTACTATATGTAAAAGTAGGCTACAAATGCATTATCATCATAAACCTGCATGATTCGCATATTCCCCAAAAATGACTAGGCTTAGTTAAATTTCACAAAATAGTAGGCCTAGTCATTTTGAAAGTATGTAGATTAATAAACTGGTTTTTTAGACATTTTCAAAGTAGTTATAACACTTTCATGGTAAAAATAATAACGTTCTCTCAACTGTCTTTCCAGGCTATTCCAGTCCAGAGTCGATACGCCCACTCGGTACCGTTCGCTAGACACGCTGACAGCAGCGAAGGCTGAATCTGATCAGCAGCTGCCGGCGCCAAGGCCGCTGACGAAGCGCTTGCTGGCGAGCGCTTATGGAGACGACAACACTGAGAAAAAGGTTCGTAACGAGACTTACGCCCGTAAACATTACTATAAGGTCTCACAGCGCGCGTGGACGCACAGGGTGACACACGAACCAATCACGGAGCTCTATAATTCAACGCTGTGCGCTCGATTTGCTGCTTCACTTAAGCAAGCACCGTTTGTGAATACGGGCGTACCTAATTCTTATCTCTGATCTATGTTGAAACCGATAAAAGATACAATAAGAGTAAAAGCGTTCTTAATAGAGACCACGCCTTGGTATGTAGGGTAGGTACTACTACCTAACCTAGTCATCAACGAACTCAGGAAGATAGCTGGAAATAAATGGCAAAGAGGAGATCGTGCTTTGCGTTAGTCCTTGGGAGAGACCTACTTCCAGCAGTAAATTGACACAGGCTGAAATGATGAAAAAAAAAAGAATCAATTAGTATCAAAATTATTTATCTTCGATGTTATATTTTTCAGACTATGTGTCGCAGACAGAGTACATACACACTATCGTCGACTCCTGGGAGCAGTATCAGGAGACGCAACAAAACATCAAGGTAATTATAACACAAATCCAAGCCAATAGAAATTGTCAATTTTGAAATAAAAGTAGTTATGATAAAACACTCAATGAAAACATTAGCACATAAATTTTCTATAAGTCACATATAAACGTCGCAGCAATTCAATATGAATTTCCATATTGTTACAGTCCAATACAATCCATACACAACCCGCTGCTAGAAACATTGATAGAAGCTGAGAAAGAGGCTGAGGAACTAAGAAACAAGATAGCATACATCAGAAAGGAGTTTGTTGAAGAGAAGAACGATTCTTCCATGTCCTCGCTAGCTTTGGACGTCTCCAAAATATCTGTCTTGAAGGTAAGTGTCTACAAAGACAAACAAATTAGCAAATTAAATAATTGTTTAAGGCTTCACGTCTTGGGGAGCACCAAAAAAAAATTATCCTCTAATTGTCTCTGCTGCTTTGTTGCGAAGACTAAATGACCTGAACGGTAGCACATAAAATCTATTTTCCGCGAATTTAAGATCAGTAAAAGTAGCAAGTCACAATTCAATTTGAAAAAAGAGTAAGGCTGGTTTTCGTGTCACACGGACCATCCGGTGCGGACCCGCTCCGCACGGCTAATCTGTATGAACTTCTAGGGAGCGTTAATGCGGTCCAGAGGAACCGCTCCGCTCCCTAGCAGTTCATATAGATCGGCTGTGCGGAGCGATCTGCACTGACAGTCCGCGTGACACTAAAACCAGCCTAAATATCTACCAACGTAATTTTTTCAGGTCATCATATTGTCAGACTGTAATTTATTAAAACTAGCTAGAGAAGTTAGATTGATGTGACTGTGTGTGCACTCTAGTTAAAAAAAAATAGTTTTTACCGACTGCGCTAGAAGGAGGGTTATGTTTTTCATGATTTCGTCTTTTAATTCCCCAGGCAGAGCCACCCAAAGCCCAGTTTGCGTCCAGTCCAAACCTGTCCGGCTTGGGAACAGTTCAGGAAGACTTCCCCAAGAGTCGGCTCAAGAGGTTCGAGAGTGCCTCCACCTCGCACTTGGGGCCGAAGTCGCTGAACCCCAACGAGAAACCCTCGCGGCTGAAGAGGATATCGCCCAACATCTTCAAGATGAGGAAAGACGCCCCACCTAAGGTTGATAAGCTGAAGCCGGATAGTAAGAGCAGCAAATTGAACAGTGAGTAATTTGGTGACTTGAAAAAATCGAACTGCCTAAGGCGGGAATCGAACTGACGACCTTTCGCTTGCCGAGCGACTGATCCATCTGAGCTACTTAGACACTGGATGAACCAATCGAATTCGTAGGTTCGATTCCCGCCTTAGGCAAATCGATTTTTCAAGTTATTTATACGAGCAATTTAGTTTGTGATAGAGATCTCAACTCTAAGAAATTTGAATAAATAAAAGTGAGTAATTTTATGCATAAAAACGTGATTATTTTATATTTAATGAACATATCGACGGCAGAAAGCGATTTTGTCGTATCTCAAAAAGTCCGATTTTACACCAGAGCAAAAAAACTATTTCAAAAATTCATAAATCTTAAATTAAGAAAGTTAGAAAGCTGAAATTTTACATGTTTTGTCTACTAATTAAACTTTATTTAATAAAGGTGATTGGAATAATCTAGAGTTACTACTTCATTGACTTTTGACTAGTTACAGCAATTGATTTTTTAATGTCGAGCTGCAGAAATGTTGTATCAGGAAGGTAAAATGTATGGCTTATTTAAGTTGACTTCAATTCCCAGGCAGCGGATCTGCTGTATCTCAAAGAAACGATAAACTGTACAGGGCTATTTAGCTGTATGGACCTTATAATGAAATAACTTTCTACATTTGAAATGTTTTATCTACAATAAGAGTCAGAGATGTGAAAACAATAAAATACTGTATCTTTTTCTTAACTGTTTTATTTAAATTTTAAGAATGTAATGGCACAAAAAAATCAGTCTGTTTTTTAATTATAATAATCAGTCCGACAAAAATATTCTTCTTTATTAGTTTATCTCTCTTCTTCATTAATTTTAAGAAGCATACACTTTCTCTTTAAAAGTTTAACAATCAGCCTGCCATAGTTTTTCTTCTTCATTAGTTTCAACAATCAATCTGCTAAATTCAGTATTAGTTTTTAAACTAAATAAAAATAATCATCATGTTACTTTTCCTTCTTTGTTCATTAGTTACATAAATCAGTCTGCTATACTTTCTCTTTATTGCTTGCAACAATCACTTACTTAGCCTCCAGGATCAGAACTCGAAACTTATCCAGTTGCAGCGAGGAGTGAGACAGGGAGATGTCATATCTCCGAAACTGTTCACCACCGCCCTGGAAGATGTTTTCAAGCTTCTGGACTGGAGCGGATTCGGCATAAATATCAACGGCGAGTATATCACCCACCTTCGTTTCGCGGACGATATCGTAGTCATAGCTGAGACCGTGGAGGACCTAAACACAATGCTCGATGGCCTCAGTAGAGCCTCTCAACAAGTGGGTCTTAAAATGAACATGGACAAGACAAAATGCGTGGCCTGGATGCGAGCGGCGCAGGACCGGTCTTTGTGGAAATCCTTGGGGGAGGCCTTTGTCCAGCAGTGGACGTCTTTCGGCTGAAACGAAACAACAAATAAAAATGTAAAATAATATTTATTTTAAGAATTTACAATTCTGCGTTCTCACTATCGGCGCTAACGCACAACTGCCGCGCGATCAGAATGGCGTATGACGCAGCGGGTGGAGGGGGTTTGTTTTGCTAGAGTATCGTATTACTTGCTGTACACAAAACAAGACTCTATTCTAATGATGTTAGTAAGATTTTCGCTATTAGATGATACGTTTGAAATGCAGTAACTATTTTATAAGTACTCACGTCAGTTCGGCTCATTTGCTGTATGTTCGACATCGTAAGATTTTAGGGCGGCTGAAATGCTGTATCTCCTTAAAAATCAATGTTCGACTCAGAAAAAGAGTGCTGTAACTGTTTAACATACTAGTAGTGTGGTCGTATCTATTTTATTTTCGAAAGTTGCGTTTTTTTGACCAGTTACAGCAATTGGTCAAGTAAATTGTAAAAAAACTGGAAAAAATTCTATGACGTATCTATATTTTTTTTCATCGTAGAAAGACGATACATACACCATTCGACGCGGCTTTTTTTTCTTAATACAATACAATTAAAAGTCATTTTAGCCAATTTTTGAGATACGACATTTCCGCTTTCTGCCGTCGATATAGTGACCAATAAAACTTTAACCAAAGTTCTCACTGCACTCTTTAATCACATATTTTCTAAATAGCCTTTACATGGGCAATCTGGGCATTTAAACAAAGATAGATGGGCATTTAAGAAAGATGTAATCCTTCTGGACTCTTTCCAGTAGTTACCCTTATCTTCAAAAAGGGGAAATAAATCTATCTGACCTAAGTTACTTAGGTACGTCAATGTAATAATTGAGAAACATTAGTGTTATGAAAGAATATAAGTAGTAACATTTCATTACTTCTGGATGCACTTTTTTGCTGTGACAGTATGAAAATAAATTCCTTTCATATTTTTTCGTAGGTAATATGATTCCTATGAGAATACAGGGTGTGTGCTAATTGAATAATATTGTTTCAGACTTGTTCAGACCAAAAATAGTGACTCCAGTACATTCAAAATTGAACGAAGCAAGTCCCAACAGTGCCTCTAAGAAAAAGTTCAGTCACGTGAAGTCGACTATACCTAGACCAACGCCCGTTAAAAAGGACTAACTTTAACTAGAAAATTGACTTTTGTTTTGAATCTAACCTTGATACTTTTTTAATTTATGAAAATAAACACGACTACGAAAGACTGTCTCCAATTTTTTGTTAAGCTGAATTACCAAAACTAGGTCGTTCATATTATAGCAATATTGAAAAAACCTTTAATACTTTTTCAGAAGCTTGAGTTGTTTATTGGTCCTAGTTAAAAGTTTATTCAGATAAACTTAACCCATAATAATGATGGTGTAGTAATTAATGAATGGTTAAGGAATAAAATAAAAGATGAGGCTTTTGACCTTTTTACTGGAAAACAGATGAAAATAATAGCTTAATATTGAAGCTACAAGTCTTGGAAGAAAAAATTCTCACGTAGCATTAAAATTACAGACATTCGTATATTTCTAACACTATGTATCAGTTACATCAGAGTTCGTGCACGTCCTTATTAATTTTTCAACTTCTTTCTCTAAATTGTCGTTCTTCCTTTCCGTTGCTTTCTTCTTATTTTTAGATTTGGACGAATGTTTACCTACATTACTGTCTTTATCTCTCCTACTGGATTTTGAATCGCCATGTTGTTTGTTTCTCGTCACTGAGGCCGGATACATAACACTTTCAAGAAACTCCTTTGTGCACAAATCTTCTCGGTTAGGTGAGTGGTGTTCATGGCTTTTTCTCTTACTCTTTTTCACATATTTCTCCGCGTGACCATCTTCAGAAGTATCATTATCACTTTCCATAGTTCTCAACTCGGAATCATTTTCAGCCTTCTGTCTTTCATTTATGATTTTCTCTTGACTTTTTTTAGTCAAATCTCGCAAGGTACACTTATCACTTTTACTCTCTTTTTTTCTTTCCTTCTTCGCTAATTTTAAACAAATAGTAGCTTTGGGGTACCCAGTGAATTGTTGGTAGCAGTTTCCCTTTTCAAGAGAAACGAAACTGTTAAAAAATCTTCTAGGATGAATATCTTCACCAGTTTCATTCAATAAAACATAGGCTTTCTTTAGAAATAGTTTCTTGTCGATTGGATTCTGCATGTGGAAGAAATTGTCAAGCTGCTCGTGTGTCGTCAGTCTTTTCAGGGCGTTTTTCTGAACAATGTTATACGAAACAACCGCCATCAAAATAAATGCTGGTTCGTTGCTGAGAATATGGTCCCAAAGTATCAACCATTCCGAACATGTCAGTACCTCACTAAAGGCGGTTTCTAATATCTTCAAAGCGTAAGTTTGGCTCGTGATTCCAGCCTCGCAGAAATGGTTCAAAAGTTGCTGGTCGTGCTCTGCTAGTATATTTTCTGCCATCGCCAAGATGCTGATTGGTGGAAATGGGGCATACTCAAACCACAACTGACAATAGTTCAGTAGGACTGTTGCTACACACTCGAACAGCAAAAGTGGATCTTTTTGCAGAACCTTCACAAACGGGAACACAAACCCTGGCAAGAATTTCATGACACCAAACAAGGGACACCAGTGTGCCAGACATGACAGTAATCGTTTAAGGTTTTTCAAGGTTACGGATCTGTGTATAGTAAATTGTTTTTCTATATCTCTGTACGTTGGATGTATGCCTTTGTCAACCAGCGCTGCATACGCTATTTTGTTTTTAGGCGTATTTAAAAGAGACCTCCAAATGACCGATCTGAATTTGTCAGGATATTCCCCATACTGCATAAGGATTCTCCTAAGTCTAGCACTATCCATGCAAGTTCGCATCTTCTGTTCAACTTCTATTTTCGAAGGAGACAGATTGTGAGGAACAGGCTTCTGGGTTGACGTAGATGGGACCTCTTCTTTTATACCATCTCCTATAGCACTTTGAGCCATGTCCAAAACATGAGCTGAGTTGTAAATATTTACTTCTCCGAGTTGTAAGATACAGAGGAAATACTTTCCAGTAGGACTTACGACGAATTTGCGAATTCCCGATGACTCAGGGCGTATACTGTGTATCACCGATAAAGATTCTAAATCAAATAAAAGCAGCGTGCAATCACTGCTCAGTATTGCCAGTATTTTGTTGGCTCCTCCATCGAAGACTTGTGGGATAAACGCGATTTGCTGTGCGCCAGAGATGTTATATTTGGACATGTCTATAGATTTTAGAGCCTTCCACGTGTCCATGCTGAATAATATTAGCATGGGCGTGAGTCCGGCCATCGCCATCGCTCTGCCATTCATCGTGAACGCTATGCTCTTCATGTGTTTCAACTCACTCGGAATAATTTGCTTCACTGATTTCATACTTTCATGTTTCCATATCTGTACCGTGTCGTTTTGAAAGCAAGCGACGAGGTAATCGCCTCCCGGCATGAACATTATCTGCTGGATTTGAGCGCCTAAATAAGTATTTAGAGTGAAGTATTTGGTGTAATTTGTCAGTTCCCACAGTATTGCTTCAACTGCGCTAGCAGTCAGTAAGTTGTTTATTTTATTGTTCGAGAATGAAATATGTTTCACAGGTGCCGTGTGTCCGGTTAGTGTCAAGGATGCTTGTCCTGTTTCGGTGTCTAAGAAGGCGATATCGAATCGTTTTGCATTTGCGATTATTATTGTGTCCAATTTGTTGGGCATGAAATGGAGAGCTGTGCATGGTCCTACGCCGGTGAGTTTCCAGAACTTGAGGTCGGAGAAGTCTAGAATGAACAGGTTACCGACATTGTCCGCACACGCGAGCTTTTCTTGACTGTCATCGAAGGTCCCCGTCGAGAACCGAATCCTACGGCTTTCTCCATTGGACCCTCGAACAGTGTGATGCAGCTGCAAGATAACTCCATCCCTGGGCCTCGATTTAAGTTTGATATCGAATTTCTCCACGCTCTTCTGGTCGCCTCGTTTCTCTTGTTCCATTTAATGATAATTCAATCCCATACGATGCATACAACATTATATATTTTTTTAAAGAATAATCATTATAAATCTGGGTCAAACTGATTTAAAATTTGGCAGTCAAGCTATCAAAATAATAAACAGGAGTGTCAAAACACGACAGCTAGTGAGCGTTGTCATGGCAACCGCGGATGCAAACTTTAGTTCGGAAATGTGTTGTGTTTATAATATCGGCTGAGTAGACTAAAGAGGTCGTTTATAAAACACCTTTTTTTTTTAGGGTTCCGTAGCCAAAATGGCAAAAACGGAACCCTTATAGTTTCGTCATGTCCGTCTGTCCGTCTGTCCGTCTGTCCGTCTGTCCGTCTGTCCGTCTGTCACAGCCGATTTACTCGGAAACTATAAGTACTACAGTGATGAAATTTGATGGGAATATGTGTTGTATGAACCGCTACAAAATTATGACACTAAATAGTAAAAAAAAGAATTGGGGGTGGGGCCCCCCATACATGTAACTGAGGGATGAAAATTTTTTTTCGATGTACATACCCGTGTGGGGTATCAATGGAAAGGTCTTTTAAAATGATATAAAGTTTTCTAAAAAACATTTTTCTTAAAGTGAACGGTTTTTGAGATATCAGCTCTCAAAGTCGTAAAAAGTATGTCCCCCCCCCTCTATTTTTATAACTACGGGGTATAAAATTCTAAAAAAAATAGAGGTGATGCATGCTAATTAACTCTTTCAACGATTTTTGGTTTGATCAAAGTATCTCTTATAGTTTTTGAGATAGGTTGATTTAACTGTAATTTTGGTTATATTTGCTGCTACGGAACCCTTTGTGCGCGAGCCCGACTCGCACTTGGCCGGTTTTTAAATAAAAAGTGCCTTTTTCCGTGATTCGGATTTCGGCTCGCTTGCGGATCTTTACATGTTTTTCCGTTCCACGTGCGTGTAGCCTGTGCGATTTAAGGACATGATTACAATAAATACGATTCAAATTCATTTAGCTATCTCAGATAACTCTATCACAGTGCTACTTTTAAGCTACTTTTCACAGGTCTTTTCATTGGTTTCTATCTCAGTTAGTTTTCTTTTGTCGTGTTATATCTGGGACAACTTCTGTAAAATCAGCGTAGTGAAACGCACTAACGTGTTTACTTACATCAGTAGCATCATCATCGCGGAGATAATTACGAACAACGAACGGTTATCTTATTTTGAAGTCTCCAGAGACCTAGAAAAATCGAACTAAGATTGGTAGTTATTTGAAACGACACTCAAAATTCTAAGCCAAGTTTCACAGCCTAGTGTCAGCTCCGCATAAGATAATGTCTTCTCTCATTATCCTACCATGTTGCGCAATTCAATTTAGCAGGTATTTACGATGCCGTAACATAACTTCACGTCCCTTGAGTTCTGAGAGATAAATAAAAATAATTACAGCAATAAATATTCAAAACATTTTTTATGCATTGTTGTGCTTGCAGTAACTTTCTACCTGCTCTTGTCTCGCGTAATGTTCACAAACTGTTATTATAATCTCGTTATCTCACAATGTTGCAGTACATTCACTAGACGTTTAAAAACGTTTATCGAGTTAAGCCGGAGCTTGATGGACGAAATGGAGCATCGGTTACGGCTTATGACCCTGATTATTTTCAGTTGTGCCGCATTTTCTCCGTAGACTGTTCCGTTTTTTCACCTCACGGGGAAATGCGAGCTAATTTGACGTTAAGTGATTACTGTCGCGCCCGCGCAGTCGCCACAGAGCCGCAGCGGTCGCAGCGCGCGCCGCGCACACGCCACTATGGAGAGACCGGGTGACCGTTATTTTGGCGCGAAATCCAAAATGTAACCGCAACGTGCTCGCGCGATCATTGCTGACTTTTCCGAGGAAAGTTTAGCGTATGAACACGACACCACAACATCAGCGTGCCGCGGATTATTCAATAGCGCACGACAGGACGGGAAATCGCTTAAATCACGTCGGAATACCTTGTTAACGAAGCGCTCGCATCGCTACTTAATAGCGACAGTAAAATGAGTTGGTTTTCTCTGAGATTCCTCGTCTGCCGTTTCGGGTAGTCGGGCCTATGCCGACGTACCGGTTGGTGGAGAGTGCGGGCGTGGTCAGGCGGTTCCTTCGCGGGCTGAAGATGTGTTTCCTGAACGTGTTGCGGCTGCATGTGTCGCAGAGCCAGCGGCAGAAGCGTTTGTACAAGCAGTACATGGAGCAGCTGGCCGGGGCTTATGTGGAG